CTCCTCGACGCCTCAGCTCCTCTGGACATTCGCTCTTGCGATGGCCCGGCCGGTTGCAAGCAAAGCAGCGCCCTCTAAACGGCGCGGCAGCTGCATTCGCTGCGACGGCATGTACAGTGGCGTGCTCGGTCGGTCCCCGAGGACGATGTCCGTAATAGGACCCCGGTCTCGGTCGGCGTAGGATATCGATTTTCTCGGCAAGCGCGAGGATCTCGTTGAAATTCGAGAGCCCGCGTAGCATTATCTCGTGCGAGATGTCCGGCTTCAGCCCTCCGACGTAACGGTCCACCCGCTCCGCCTCGTGCATGTAGCCGACCTGTTCGCAAAGTGCGAGAAACCCGCTGTTGTAGTCTTGAACTGACCCGAGCTGGCGCCAAGTGCGCAGTTTCTGACGCGCCGAAATCGAGGCCGCGATCGGCTCAAAGCGCGCCCGAAGCCCTGCGCACCACGCATCCCACGTGCTGTATTGGGCGGTTTCGCAGAACGAACTCCAGGTAACAGCTGGACCCGAGGGCCCTTCCTCGTGCGACGGTGGCTCGTAGGCGCGCGGCGACGTCACAATGACTCGCCACCAGTCCATGGCGGGGCCCCTGAGTAGTGAAACCGCATACCGGATCTTGGCGGCGTCCGACTCGACGTAGTTGGCGTCGAAAAACACATTCATCGTGAAGACCCACGATTGAACTGTCGGGCCGCCGCGTTGGCTTGGGTCGAAGCAGGGCGGGCGTTGCGGCTTGAGTGGCATTGGGGCCATCATGGCGTTCTCGCCACTTGTCGCTGCAAACTCCACGTGCCGACGGGCTTCTCGGGGCTCCCGTGGGCTTAATGCGCTCCTGTTCCCTCCCATGCCGGGCATCGGTTGGGCTGCGCCGTCACTGGCTGCGCCTGAGCGCTGTCCCGTGCTGTTGTGTTGCGTTGGTGTGCCGGATGAGATGACGATGGGCTCCTCCGAATGTGCAGATGCATTGGTTGGTGCGTGTGATGTCGTCGGTACGTTCACTGTTGATTGTTGACGTGCGGAGTCACGTTCCGCCGTGAGAGTCGCGATTTCGAGCGTCGAATCCTCCAATTGACGCACGAGACGATCGAGTTGCTCCTGCGTCAACGTGGCGAGATTGAAATCGGCCATGGCGGGGGTGTCGGGCAAGCTCAGCGAGAGCCTCGGTCGTGGCCGTGCGTGCTTTCGAGAGAGCACTACGAGCGGCGGTGCTGTGTCGCTGAGAGACGTCTACCCCCCCCCCCCCCAAAAATTGAGATAGTGGGAAGCGAAGGTGTGGATGCGGTCCGAGATGAGATCGTAGGCTCTGAATACCAAGTGTTACGAGTGCAATTGAGTGAACGAACGAGAATTGCACTATCGAAGCAAGAATACAAATGAGCGAAGGCATGAGCGAACATTATATAGCGAAACTACAGTGGTAACGGTAATGGTCGCGCGACGAGCCTGGGACTGAGGTTGGGAAAGTGTCGAAGCGTAGGTCCGGAGCGCGGGTTACCAGCCGAGCCGTGAGGTCGGGATGCGATGTGCGAAAAGGGCGGGATGATGAATGATGCGATGGTCGCGAGTGGTAACGGTGCTGACTGAGGTGCTATAGTGATGTACGTGTTGAGCAGGGACGCGAAGTAAGGAAAAGGGAATTACCTTACGACAACGAACTTTGAACAAGTCCAACTGTTTTGTTCAGTCTGTACCAATGCCTTATTATGATCTATAAGATCAAGTGAACCATTCTTACTTAAAAGTATGGCACCATACGTTATACTATCACTCTGTACACACGCCAAACGGAAGCGATTACGCCAAGGCGCAAACATAACCACATCTATGTTAGAGCAGAATATGCAGGAAGAAGTCGAAGGCGCTTCAAAGATGGTTCAGAGCCATCAGCATCCATCATGTACTCATCAGCACTATCTGCAAGGGATTGCATCCATGGGTCCAAGCTTCTGCCGTATGCACTGTCGCAACCGTAGCCTGAGCTTCCAGCAGGAGCAGAAGCCTCCAACAAGTCCGGTGACTGTAACAGGTCTGCAAGCAGCTCCTGAATCTGTTTCATGTCAGCAGACTCAGTGCCTCCTCCACTCGCACTCCTTTCCAACTCCGGTTCCCCTGCTTCTTTATCCACAAGCACTTTGTCATCCAGCGATGGGATGTCGCTGCTGATTCCACAACCGCTGCTCGCGATGATATCCTCTGATTGGTCCTGCATTGATTTCAAAAGCTCGTCCCATGAAACGCCGGGAACCTCAGACAGCGAGACCTCACGGCCTTCAGTAGCTGATGGGTCATTCCCAGAAGCAGCGTCTGCAGTTTGGTCCACTACCATGACTCTTTCATTGCTGGTCTCCACCGGGGTAGGTGCCTCTGCAATGCTCTCCAGGCGCGGAAACATTGGAGGAGCAGATGGGGTTTCGTTCGCAGAGGGCAACAACGGCGAAACAAGCGGAGGGACAGGGGCAGAAGGCGACAAGAGTCTCGCAGAAGCAGCAGGAGAGACGGTCGAGTGGGGAGCTTGTGCAACGGCGGAGGAGGAAACGGCGGAAGCAGCAAGCAAAATCACTGCCACAGCAGCAGAGGCAGAAGCACAGGCAGCGGAACTGCTGTCTAGAGAATTCGCTCCGTCCGTCACTGCCGCGTTCCAAGCGTCGTCTTTATCGAAGCCATTGCCGCCACTGGCGGCTTCGTTCGCCCGAGGCGCATCCACATGAGTCCACGCGGCGTCAGCAGGCGGCGGCGACTCGGGCAGATTACTCCCATCGCCGCAACCTCTCAGTTTCTCGTCGGTCGCAGCAGCAACGGTCCCAGAGGCATCCCCCCCGCCGCCGCCGCCGCTGTAAGTCATGGCAAGGACAACGTTTTCAACGAGGAGGTCCATAGTGAGCGCGTTTAGCGCCGCCAGCTGCTCCCGCTGCTCCTTCTGCTGCTCCTGCGATTTCGGTCGCGCCACCAGCAGCGACTGGAGATACTGCAGGAGCTGCACTGCCGGCGGCTGACGAGCCGCCGGCTCGCTGCCGCTGGTAACGCGGTTGCGGCTGCGCGGGGAGACGGAAGCGCCGCACTCTTGGCGGAGGGAGCGGGGGGAGTTTGACAGGGCGTTAAGAGACGGGTTGTCGGAACTGTCTGACCCGGGTATCTCCAGCGATATCGCCGCTCGTGGCCGCTTCTTAGAAGCAGGACGGGCCTTAAGAGCGGCGCGGTCCGACGCGGCGTTGGACGCGATTCCGCTTTGTAGAGTGCTGCGCCTGCCACTTCTCTCCCCCGCGGCGCCGGCAGGGGTCGCTTCGCCATTCTGCATTGCCCAGGCGTTCGGTTCCTCGTTTCGGCATGAGTCCTGCGCACTGTCGCTGCTCTCCCTGCTGCTGACCCCCCTGCTGTTGCATTGCTGCTTCACGCTCGAATCTGAGCCCCGCAGCGTCGGGAAAGCCACCGCATTGCGCGCATCGAGCGACGCTGAACGGCTACTGGAAGCAACGGCGACGGCCGCGCGTCGCGAAACATTCGTCGCGGAAGGACGAGGAGACTTGGAGGGGCGAGAGCTTGGCGGCGGCATCATCGCCCTTTGCGACGGATCCTTGGACCTGCTGCTCGAAGTCCCCGACGCAGCGGCTGCTATGGCTGCTGCGAGCGTGGGGAATGCGGTCGGTGCAGGAATGAGAGCAGAACGCTGGGCTTCGGAAAGGAGAGGATCCTTTGTGGAAGTTGCTGGCGCGTCGTTAAGCCTCTGTTCGTTGCCGATGACGGGAGACGGATGATTGGACTCTTGCTGAGCCACTATTCGCTTCAGGTGCCGCAGGAGCCGCGTTGCGTGTTTATCCATTCTGTGTTGCTGATGAGGGGGTGGAATGGAAAAGATGCAAACGCGCAGAGCCTTAAGGAATCTTGAAACTCGAGCGATAGACTCGTCGCAACAATTGTGCCTGACACTCGACAGAAACAGATCAAGGAAAGCAAGTGCTAACAATTGCGCATCAGGGCGTGTGTCTTTTGCAAATTCGGGTAATTTCATGTTTTTTTCTCGAATTTTCACATTTGAGCTTCGGTCGACCTGAGGTCGAGTCCTCTACTTCGGGTGATCTAGGAGCACCGTCAACAAGTCCGACTCGCGCATGGAACAACACAGTTCGACCATCATGTTCAGCTTTAAACAGTAAATCCCCAGTCGCGCTAAACTTTCGAAGGCTACCCGGTTTGGCAGTGCAGTTCGTGACCGTATCCGGCTTCGGTACCCGGCATATATTTACCTCGTTATTGTCGTTAGCCTCGTGAATTCTCGTGCGTGCGCAGAAGAACATACGATTGGATAAATGTAAACGTAAACAAGAGGCGACGAATTCGTCTTAGGGTTGCGAAGCGTTTTGCGCAATTATATAAATTTGTACAACTTCTAATTCTGTACATAATGCTGTAGTATGACACTAAGTGGTACTTCCTCTCACCAGGAAAAGGTAAAAAATGTATAACGCGATTGGGATTCGAACCGAAAACTTTTCGATTTCACTCCAAGCCTTGTACCACTGCTACATCACAGATGTTTGTTTTAAAAAGTTTTTAATAATAGCTAAAGTTTTTAAAAATAAAAAATTGCGACGAATCTGAGACTACCTTAGAGTTTGTTCGCCCTTTTCTTCTCCCGCTTCTCCTCGCTCGTCACGCTCTACCAACTTCTCCACCTACTCTAACTGCAACTTAGGTAAGAAGATCCCTCAACTTTAACTCCAACTAAATTAGATGCCTATTAGATAGACTAACATTTAGTCATTCCGTATCCTAGCCGTGTAAATGGATGAGTATTAGCGAGACTTAGTTGTTTAAACTTAGGTTCTCGGCCCTTTGTAAAGATTTCAGGTTCTCCTTCCTGCATAAGCTTGCATCTGTTTCTTCTATTCTTCATCCTTAAACTTTTCCTCTCGTCGGTTGCCTTTTCTTCATATTTGCATGTTTTAGTTCATTTTTTTCTCAACCTCGTCTTAGGTTGTACATAAAGATTGTAATAGGTTGCATGTTCAGTCCATTTCGTTTTCTCTCGCTCGTTCTCTCTCTCCCGTTCTCTCTCTCCCGTTCTCTCTCTCCCGTTCTCTCTCTCCCGTTCTCTCTCGCTCGTTCTCTCTCTCCCATTCTCTCTCCCGTTCTCTCTCGCTCGTTCTCTCTCTCCCGTTCTCTCTCTCCCGTTCTCTCTCTCCCGTTCTCTCTCTCCCGTTCTCTCTCTATCGTTTTCTCTCTCTCGTTCTCTCTCTCGTTCTCTTTCTCGTTCTCTCTCGTTTTCTTTCTCTCTCGTTCTCTCTCTCTCTCTCTCTCTCTCTCTCTCTCTCTCTCTCTCTCTCTCTCTCTCTCTCTCTCTCTCTCTCTCTCTCTCTCGTTCTCTCTCTCTCTCTTTCTTTCTCTCTCTCTCTCTCTCTCTCTCTCTCTCTCTCTCTCTCTCTCTCTCTCTCTCTCTCTCTCTCTCTCTCTCTCTCTCTCTCTTTCGTTCTCCCTCTCTCTTGTTCCCTCTCTCTCGTTCTCTCTCTCGTTCTCTCTCTCTCTCTCTCTCTCTCTCTCTCTCTCTCTCTCTCTCTCTCTCTCTCTCTCTCTCTCTCTCTCTCTCTCTCTCTCTCTCTCTCTCTCTCTCTCTCTCTCTCTCGTTCCGTCTCTGTCGTTCTCTCGTTTGTCAGAGGTCCACTGGTGATCCCCGATCGATCCTAGGGAAGGGTTACAGGCACGATTGCCTGGGGGGTTATGGGCGCACTGACCCGCTACTGAAATAAAGCCCTTTTATCCCAATGGTCTAGTGGTTGGGATTCTGAGATGGTATCCAGAGCGAAGGTCTCGGGTTCGAATTCCGGTGTATGCACTTCGGGCATCCCAGTGCGGGGGGGTGTCAGAGGTCCACTGGTGATCCCCGATCGATCCTAGGGAAGGGTTACAGGCACGATTGCCTGGGGGGTTATGGGCGCACTGACCCGCTACTGAAATAAGCCCTTTTATCCCAATGGTCTAGTGGTTGGGATTCTGAGATCGTTCTCTTTTGTCGAATCTCTCGTTCGTTCTCTCTCGTTCGTCCACTCTCTCGTTCTCGCTCTCTCGTCCTCTCTCTCTCTCTCTCTCTCTCTCTCTCTCTCTCTCTCTCTCTCTCTCTCTCTCTCTCTCTCTCTCTCTCTCTCTCTCTCTCTCTCTCTCTCTCTCTCTCTCTCTCTCTCTCTCTCTCGCTCTCGCTCTCGCTCTCGGTCTCCGTTGTTCTCGCTCAACGTATTTGTTATATTCTCTTCGTTCGTTTACTGTCTGGTCATGTGTTTTTCCCTTTGTTCTCTTTCTTTACTTTCGTTTTATGCCTTAGTACATTTTCTCCTTGTCATTTGTCAGCTCTAACCCTTCAATGCTCATGGCGTTTTTCTTGGCCCTTGTATTGTTTCATTTGTTTCTTCATTATTCATTTTTCTTGTAATTTCATTATGCCTTGTTATTTCCCATTTGCCTTCCCTTCCTCAACCCAGCTTTGTCTTACTTTTCAGGCAGTCGAGCTCAATATGAGAAGTAGACTGATATTGCTTGTGACTTACAGTATAGGATACATAATGTCTTGGTGATTTAGGTTTCTATTTCATATGCGGTCAATATGCTTTGTCAGTTGACTTCGTGCGTGCGTGTCTGTGTGAATGTGTATGATCATATGTATGCGTTGTGTTGTGTGCGTATGCGTTTTCATTCATGTTTCCATTGCATTAATAACACATGTCTGTGGGGTTTAAAAATTGGGATCAAACTATCATTTCCGAGAAGGTTCTTTGCGCACTCAGTGAGTGTGTCCATTCGAACTGGATTTGATGGAATTGACCTGTTTTTTATATCACACAGATTGTGTTGTTTCATGTAACAGTTGGATGATTCAGAAATTATGCTATTGAGCTCCCCCCCATGCTAGGCAGGGGATGCGGTAGCATAGGGTCTGCGTCAATTAACTGTTACGCACTTCCATCATGCTGTGCATTTATTTCATTACGGTACCGGTAGTACCGTATATGCATTATACTTATGCATTTGCATTTACTTCATCTACTTATAACAACAGCAGACATTTGCATCACGGAATAAACAGTTATGCATTCACAGTACATCATTTTGGCAACTCATGAAATATAGGTTCAGTCAAAGTAAACTAGGAAATGAGAAGGAATGTGGTTCAGCACGTGGTAAATTGACGCGGCAGATACATAGCAGTCAGTCATTTAGCTAGTACCGTTCACTATATTTTTTCCCTCTATTTTTTAAAGGTATTGAGGATTGAAAAAAAAAATGTACATAACGATTGTAATAGGTTGCTTCGCAACCCAAAAACCGAACTCAGGTCGACTCTAGTTCTTTCATACAGTTGGATCAAGGACACATGGTTGTCTCGCGAAAATCTGACGAGATACACGACATAGGTTACCAGTAAAAGATCGAACTTATTTCCGACCGTATACACCAAAAGATACGCGCCCTTACGGCAACGAACGTCTCTTTTTGAAGCTGGACTCGACTCCGCTTCTGCGCGCGAGTGAGGAACCTGCCAGCCAGCAGGACAAAACCAGACCACGCGGAAGGTCAGGATTGGGCCGACTTGCCCTTGAAACTGGTTTCGTTTGCTGCCTGAAGAGTGTACGTTCACATGCACCCCAACCACCTCCCTTGGTCAGGCAGATACTTTCCGTGGCTGACAGTGATGCAGAACCTGGAAAAGGTGCTCCTCCAACAAACCTGGCAGCCTGCCAGCACCCCCTGTCTCAGCGGCTCAGTTGCGAAACGTGCCTCTCTCCCAACTGTTCGAGAGGCACCTTCACCTCGGTACCGTAAATTAAAGAACGGTTTGGTATGTTTGGTAGTTTTGATGTGGGCTCTGGTTCGGCACGGACATCCGAACGTCGGCTTCCCCGCTCTTTCCAAGCCGTGGAGTTGTCTGGAACGCGTCCCTTCCATCCATCCAATCCCCTTGCCCCTCTCCCTCCACCGTTTGACCTTTCAAGAAGTCCCAAAAGGACTGCCCTAGAAAGCCCCTGACCAAGAATATCGCTGTACGGTAACGAAGCTGGCAGGCGCTTGAGTCTGTCCCAGCCCAGCCTGACCTGTGTTCGGCCGACATCCTAGAGAAACTGGCGCCAACACATCGTCGATTCGCATGTGAGCGAGTGAGCATACTGCGTACAGTACAGTGCAACAATGCATTGCACTGCACCCCTGTCTGTCTGTAACGTGCTGAACTGTACAGCGCAAAACAGCACTGTTTGTAACGAATGTGTTTGTTTACGTTCCGGAGCTCACTCTCTCTCTCTCTCACACCACAGCTTGGATTGGACTCGGTAATTTGCAGGCCGTGTCATGAAAATTGTCGCTTTGCAGACTGCAAAACAGTGGTCAAGTGAGCAGTCTGTGTTGACTGCCAGTGACACTCTTCCAGTCTGGCAAGGAAGGCTTTTGGCAGAGACCCTCACTGATTTGTCGGAATACACCCTCTTTCGCGCTAGCAGAGCTTCTGGTTGCAGAACATACACGGGTTGTAGAGCGTCACCACGATCAGAACGGTCTAATCACCCACGGTACAGGCACAATTCGTGGGAATGCGACTAATTGAGGTTATGCACGTTACAAAACAGTAATTATGTTTTGAAAAAACGGGTGGAAAGGGTATCCAGCGATAGCAGAAATGTTACGCCCCAGTCCCAGTCGGTCACCGTGCGGCTTTGCCCGCAGGTTCCAAGATACGCTTTATGCCACCTGCCCGGAAGATCCAAGCACGGTAGCCAGTGGTCACTCTTTTTTTTTTTTTTTTTTTTTTTTTTTTTGGGACATAATAGACTATTATCCAGTGGTCGCGCAAGCTGAGAAGGTTGAGAAAGAGGGTGTACTGTAACATGCGTACATCTGCACAGACTTTCGCGAAAGCCGTGAGTACGAGTTTATATACAGCCAGATTAAAGACAAGATAACTATCCACAACCTCCTACTTACCACCTCGCCATTCCTTGAAAATGGATTGCATGAGATGGCGGTTGCGAGGATTTCCAACATTTACAGTTGGAATGATCTGCTTTGGCTGACAAAAGGATACGAAGTCCTGCAGTTCAGTGAAGCTGCTGTGCTCACTGTAAGGTACACCTATAAAATGGGAGTAGGGAGAGGAAGAAAACATGGAAGAGCTTGTGGTTGTGAAATGGAGCTGCACAGGTGGATGAATGGTTGTGTGCTGTGGGTCCGAGACGACCAATCGTCGGCCAGCATGCCGTAAAAGCTTATTTGAGGTAAGAATGATACGAGGCAAATGATAACTTATGAGAAAAGAATAAGGAGAGCGGGTACCATATAGTGAAGCGTTGCGGTAGTGTTGGGGCTGAATGTTGTGCAGACCTGAGGCTAAGCGCTGGGAGAAGGTCCATCCTGGCCAAAACAATGCACAAGTAACACTGCACACATCAGCCCCGGATGGAATGTAATGTGGCATGCAACTGGCAACCCGTTTTTTTATATTTAGCTTTCTAATTTGCATGACATGTCAGGCATGCGATGGCATGGTATCATGTCATATGGCATTGTATGGGATGGTATCAGATGGAATAGCACCTGTGGGTCGGAAGCCGATAACCCGGGTGAAACCTCTCTGGTTGGACACATACTCATGCAGGCGCTGCATGAAGAGCAAGATGGAGACAACAGGACATAACAACTTTGAGAGTGGACCATCTGATAGCATGGCAGGGTGATGCAGTTATGGCACAGGTGTAATGATCTTACAGACAGTTCACATCCAACTCCCTCTCTCCTCCTCCTTCACCCCTGACTACCAATCCCCTTCCCTTCCTGCCCACTCCTTTCCCTCTCTCCCACCTCCTTCCCCACCCCGAGCATGTGATGTCATGCCATCCCTGCACGACATGCCATCCCTGCACGACATGCCATCCCTGCACGACATGCCATCCCTGCACGACATGCCATCCCTGCATGACATGCCATCCCTGCACGACATGCCATCCCTGCACGACATGCCATCCCTGCACGACATGCCATCCCTGCATGACATGCCATCCCTGCACGACATGCCATCCCTGCACGACATGCCATCCCTGCACGACATGCCATCCTTGCACGCCACAGTCTCACTTGAGCGCGCAGCTGCCCCAGGGGCAGCACGTGCAGCGGGGAGGAGGCGGCGTCACGGGTGAGGCGGGAAGAGAGTGTGGGCCACTGCAGCGCGTGCAGCAGCCGATGGTGCCGCGGCAGACAGAAGATGCTTTCCTGCGGATTGCAGGCCAAGGGGTGGGGAAGAGCGGGGGAAGAGGGAGGAAAAGCAGGGAGGAAAAAGTGTGGGGGATTTGCATAGGAATGAAAGGCGACGTGAGAGTGCCTAAAAGGCTTTTCTGGGTTGAAAAGTTGAAAGGAGGGAGGCAGGGAGAGGAGGGGAGTACCTGCAGCGCCTGGGCGATAGCGAGAAAGAGGCGCTCCTTGCCGATGCTGTATGCCCCCACCACGAACAGCACCCTGCCCCCTGCCCGCCTCTCCGCCTTGTCCGCTGCCACTGCCACCGCCACCGCATAGTCTATCACCTGCTGCTGATCCGGGAAGCTGCGGGAGAAGAGCAGGGCAGAGGGAGGGTGGGACGGAGGTGCGAATGGCGGTGTTGCACACTGAGTGATGGAGCATTGCAGGATGGGCGAAGGGTCCGAGCACATGCCTGTGACAATTGATGAGAACTCTCAACAGTGATGCTCGCATGTGTGTATCGCAATGGGTACACAAACCACGAATCGCGAGTCATGTGTGTCCAGTGCAGTGTTTGGTGTTGGATGAATGGATGGATACAAAGGTGGAAGAGGGACCGCTGAAGGGTGCTTCATAGGGTAGGATGGCCAGCAGCAGCTTCTCACAAGCCGCACAAAAGAAAAAAGCTTTTTAGTTGACTCAACAAGAGGAGGCGAGCATTGATGAGAAGTGAGTGTAGGGAGAGACGGTGAAGAGAGGGTGAGTAAAGGGGGGGAAGAAGAGGGTGAAGTGAGGGTACGTGTAGCGCGGGTGGCAGTAGGTGGTGTCAAGGTACAGGCGGTCCACAGCTGCACCAGGGAAAAGGTGGCGGTACGTGCACATGGCGTCACATGCTCTGAAGTCCCCCGTGTGGAGAATGGTGGCGGAGAGGAACGCGCGAGGAGAGATGGCGGAGGGTGTGGGGACGAGCGTGTGATAGGAGGGTGGGTGGGGTTGGAGAGGGGAAACGGGTGGGGGGTGGTGTGTGGTTGGGAGAGTAGGCCTGGGAAGGGAACCATGAGGAGAGGCGGAGGCAGAAAAGAAAGCTTCATGCTGCTGCTGCTGCTGGTATGTGCACGCCTGTTGCTGCTGGTGCAGCGGTGGTGGTGCAGAGGAGAGAGAGCGAGGCAGCGGAGGAGGTGAGTTGGTGCGGATGAGGATGAGTGCGGAGCCAGGGCAGTGGTTGGCTGGCAGCAGCGTGACTGCATGGCCGTGTAGATAGACTGTGGTGTTGAAGGTGATCGGGATTAGCAGACTGCCATCACAACCATGCATGCACGCACGCACAAACGCACGCACACACGCACACACGCACGCACACGCACGGACACACAATGACACACTCACATGCACATGCACGCACGAATGCGCGCGCACACAGATACGCACACACACACACACACACACACACACACACACACACACGCACGCACGCACACATACGCACACCCGCGCACGCGCACACACACACACACAATTTTCAGGCATGCAACAGCGGAATGTGTGAGACGGCACTAGCAAAATAAATGTGCCCTTCTCGTACCTGCGATCTCACCACCGTCACTCATGGCGGAAGGGCAGCAGCACTAGAGAAAAGCATTAGCAAGTACGAAAGAGAGTCAAAACTTCCCTAGTAAACTCGAGTATGCCCTTCTCCTACCATGCAATCTCATCACCAACCTCCCACTCCTCCCTTCTCTCATGCCTCCTCCACCTCTCCTCCCTGCTGCCACCCACTCCTCCCTTCTTTCTTCCATACCCACTCTACCCCTCGACCCAGCTCTGCCAGTCACCCACCCCCTAGCCCACCCCGCCACAGCGCGCACCTCTGGTCGACCCCCAGGCACATGTGGGCGAGGCGGGCAGTGACGGGCGTGCACACGATGGGGCCGCCCTGCCAGCGCTTGGAGAGCCCGCGGTAGTGGTCGCTGTGGAAGTGCGTGAGGAAGTAGAGCTGCACGCCCGGCACTGGCCCGTATGAAAACGCATCCACTGCAAACGGCGTTCCTGCGGGGCGAATGGCGGAGGGAGGAGGAGAACCAAAGAGAAAAATGAAATGGAGGGAGGGAGGAGGGGGGGAGAGGTGGGGGGAAGGGGGTTTGAGTGGAGTCACAAAAGAGAACGAAAGGCATTGACCACATAGGGGGTTGTGATGGGTAGCAATGGGTGCGGTGGATAGTGGTGGGTAGCGAAGTGAAGGCACGAACCAGGAATCTTCTTGTAGAAGGGGCATGGGCGCGGAGTTTGAGAGGACCAGTGGGAGGAAGGGCGAGAGCGCGAGGATGCAGCAGCGGTGGGTGCAGCAGCAGCAGCTGCTATCAAGCTCTTCTGCCCATCCTCTACAGGAGTGCCTTCATCACCAGCACCATCAGCATCAGCATCATCAGCATCCTCCTCTGCTTCCCTTGCCTGCTCCTCCCCATCCGCAAACCCATTCACTACACCCATCCTCTCGCCCACTTTATCGGTCCCACCTGCCTTGTCCCCACCCGGACTCTCACTCTCATTCTCACGAAGCTCCTCTCCCCACCAACCCCTCCCTCCTCCTCTCCCCTTTCCCAGTGCCGCCCTCCCCTTCCTGCCCTGCTTCCCCTCCTCCTCCTGCACCACCATGGGCCCTTTGCCGCCAAAGAAGGCGGCAATGCCTCGCTGCCGCAAAACACGGCTGCTGCTGCTGGCACTATCCATGCTCACCACACTATCCACTCTCACCACCTTCCCACTCGCCCCCTCACTTGCCATCCCACTCATCATACCACTCGCCTTCCCAATACCCTCCCCACTTGCTTTCCATCGCCCGACTCCCTCACTCCCTCCTCCCCCCTCCACCCCTGCACCCATCCCACTCCCTCTTCTCCCCACACTCCCTGCAACCGTCTCACTCCCTCCTCCTTCCCCTCCACAAGCAGCCCTCCCCCAGAGGCGTGCCAGAGTGGCTGTGCCCGGGGGCAGGAGCGTGGCAGCAGTGCGAATGCGGACTGTGGCAGAGGTGGCAGACCAGTCAGAGTACCCTAGTAGGCCCAACTCGCACGCTGCATGCTCCTCCTCTGCTTCATCTCTCGCCTCTGCTTCATCCCTCGCCTCTGCTTCATCTGCGTTCGACTTCTCCACTTCCCCCACCACACCGCCCTTCATCCCCTCCCACCGCTCTCTATCCTTGAGTTCCTCCGCCTCCTCCTCTCCCACGCCCTCCTTTCCTCCTCCACCGTCGCACCATCCCCATCCATCTACATCCGTCATCCCACGCACCACTCTCACTCCGCTCATGCCCCTCCTCAACCCTTCACTCCCCTCTCCGTCACCCTCTCCCCCCACGCTCACTTTCCCACCCTCTCCCCTTTCCGCATCTCCCCCTTCCCCCTTCAACCCCAGCCTCTCCCTGACCAAACAGCCAAAACTCCACTCTCCCTTCCCCTGCACCCCCATCTCACCCCCTCGCACTTCCCCTTCCCCCCCATATGTTCCCCCCACTCTCCCCCTTTCACGAAAAATGTTACGCGAGCAGCCATCCTCCGCCGCCCCCGCGCCTCCCGCCTCACCGTCCATGCCCTTCGACTCAACAACATCTAGTTTTAAGGACATCTCTAGAGAGAGTCTCGCCCTGACGCGCCTCGTCGACATCGGATTCATCTCCGCTAAATCGTCTTCCTCCCCCCCCCTTCCGCGCAGCTTGCCTCCGCCATAGTCATCCGCGCAAAGTCCCTCCCCCAATTCCCTACCCGCGCCTGCCTGTGTGCAACCTCTCCCCGCGCAATCTGCCTTCTTCCGCGCTCCCCTGCCCAGTTCCGCGTATTCTCCCCGCAGATCCCTTCCCGCGAGCTCTCCCCCTCTCGTCTCGCAGGAAAATTCGAGTTTTTGAAAGCTAACTTCGGCCACCCCGGTTCCGCATTCCGCCTTGGCGCGCGCAAGACAAGGATCCGCGCGGGGCTGCGCGGCGGGGGAAGGCAACGGGCGGAAGAATTGCAGGAGCGACCGGTTGCGCAGTGACGTGCGTGGAGATGTCTTAACACGTGGCGAAGAATTAGTGCGTTGCTGCTGCTGTTGCTTCCCAGCTGCGCGAGAAGGGTTAGGAGCCATGCGCGGATGACGTCACGACTGGTGACGAGCGGATCTCGTCGAACCGCTTGAATGTGGATTTGGAAAGAACTGGACACGCGAGGATTTAGAGAAGACGACGGGTGCCCTCTAATGCTATGCCGGCCGGCGAGGAGAGGTGGAATGACTGGGAGATTGTGCACGCTGAGCCTGCAAAAGAGGTTCCAGCGCGCGTTTCGAGCTCAGGATATACTAGTAAGGTGTAGTTGGACGTTCGCTAACGAATTTCCCCTAAGAAAACTATTTTTCACCCACTAGGCGTCACACTGACTCCAACTATTTGATGGTCTTGTTGGTGTCCCCTAACTCTGCTGCTGTTGCTGGGTCGTACGCGCTACACGTGATTTCATCATATGCAGGCAATGATACTACTTACACAATCAGCTGGAAACTGGTGAATACTTTTTGGATCATGCTCCCAGCAAAATTCACGCACATTTCCCGAAGCATCCATGCCCACGTGGACACAAAAGACCCTAGGGGCGTTCTGGTCATTCAATCAATTCGCGCCAAGTGGACTAGAAACTCGTGGCCCTCACCCTCCATGTTCCTCCTCCGGGCCGCACTCACCCTCCTGCAAAACATCCCCCCCAATCGACCCCGCTCCCCTATCCCCTTCCGACGCTCCGCGCCAAGCAGCAGCTCCCGCTGCTCACGCCCGCGGATGGCAATCAGCCTCGCGCTTTCCCCCACCCTTCCCCCTTACCACAGCCCTTAAAAAATTCAATCACCCTCCAATTGCTTCACTTCCTCGATCTTATATATTACGAAGCCCTCCGTCAATTGTCTCTTGCGCTAGTAGTCAACACTCCTACCCATCCGACCTCTTTCCAATTTCCAGACTGGGCGGTTCTTCTGCCGTCTCCTCGCCAGTCGCCATGGCTGCTCAGCTGACGCGTTGCGTCGTGCCCGCAGCGTCGACGCGCATGGGCTCCGCAAAGGCCGCCGCCGCTGTCGCCGCCGTCTGGCAAACATCCCGCGCATCCACGCATATGCTCCCGCCTTCCGCGTCGGCGTCAAGCGCGCTATCCTCGCTTTCCCCCGCCACCTCTTCCTCCCCCTCCCCTCCTTTCTCCTCCGCAATCGCCCTCTCCCCTTCCGCCTCCGCCTTCCGCCGCGCCGCGCTGCAAACAATTAAGCCTTCCGCGATCCGGCCAACGGAAGCCGGCCACGTGGCGGTGCGCGCGGAAATGCAGAGCATGGAGGAGCTGCCGGAGAATCTGCAGAAGATCGTGCGAAGCTTCCAGATGGTGCCCGATCCGCGCGCGCGGTACCAGCAGCTGCTCTACTACGCGGCGAAACTTAAGCCGCTGCCCAAGCAGTTCCAGACGCCGGAGAACAAGGTCAAGGGATGCGTGTCGCAGGTGCGTGCGTGGGCGAGTGCGCGAATGTCCGCATTCACCGCTCGGTGGCCCACCGTTCGAGCGCTCTTCAGAACACGTGCATCTTTCCTACAATCGTCGCGCTTCTTCTCCGTCCTCCGGTGCCTCCTCTCATGCCTGCTCACCTCAGCTCTTCCCCACCCCCCTCCCCTCCTCCCCCCCCCTTTTTGGCCTCTCGTACCCTTGCCTTTCCCCTTTCTTCCCCCATCACCTCCTCCGGCGCTACCCTTCTCCATTGCCCCCCGCACTGCGCGTGCGCGAAGGTGTGGGTGCTGCCGACGCTGGGCGAGGACGGGCGGGTGAGCTTCCAGGCGGAGAGCGACTCGCAGCTCACCAAGGGGCTCGCCGCGCTGCTCGTCGAGGGGCTTAGCGGCGCCACGCCGCAGCAGGTACGCGCGGCGCGGGGGAGGGCAATCGGGGGGAAGGCATAGAAGGCGGAGGGGGATGGGGCATGGAGGAATGGCCCCTATAAGGGGAGAGCGGAGGTGAGAGGAGAGGGGGAGGTGGGGGAAGTAGAAGGGAGTGGGGGGGAGAAGAAGGGTGTAATGCCTAATTTCATGGGAATGTGTGATGGCAGGGATGTGTGTGTGACAGAGGTTATGGTGGAAAGGATGTGTGTGGGTGAAGCTTCAGGTGGCGTGGTGGAACAATGCTGAGCGGATGGAATATGCGCACCAATACATGCGGTTGCAATGCCCACACACTCTAACGTCACGTCACACGAAAGAACGCGCACATTCTCCGTCGTGTATCCGCCCGCCGCCCCCCTGTCCCTCCCTCCCTCCCCCGTTCCCCCTCCACATCCCCGCCCTTGTGGCCTGGCGCGTGGCAGATCGTGGCGTTAAAGCCGGACTTCATTCAGATGCTGGGGCTGAAGCAGAGCCTGACGCCGTCGCGCAACAACGGCTTCCTCAACATGCTGCTGCTCATGCAGCGCCGCACGCTGCAGCTCTACGCAGAACGCGAGTCCGCCACCTCCGCCTCCTCCGCCTCCGCGCCCGCAGAGCCCGCGCGGTCCGCGGAAGCAACCGCCTCTGGCAGCGCTGCTGCTGCAGCGGCGGCAGCAGGCACAGCGGCGGGTGCTGCGGCTGCAGGGGGGGGAAACGGGGCGAGCGCCACGGGGGGAGACGGAGGGGAAGGGGAAGGGGGGGAAGCGGCAGCACCGATTGACCCCCAGCGGCCTTTGTTCTCCGCCATGACTGCCAAGGTGCGTGGTGTGGTGCATGGAAAAGTGTTGTGGAGGATTTGGACTTGGGGATACACATGCACCTAAGAGTCTCACGTGCACTGCATTTTTCCGTGCTGCTCATGTGGGCGTGTCATGCTGACATGTGGTGGGCTTGTGGTGGGCATGTGGAGGCAGATAAGCAAGGCATTGACGCCCACGGCATTGGAGGTGGAGGACGTGTCTCACCAGCATGCAGGCCACTCGGGGAATCCCTCGGGCAAGGGAGAAACGCACTTCAAGTCAGTACTGCACCTCACTCCCCTGCCTGCCACACCCATTGCAATGTCACTATTGTCTCGCTTCACCTCATTTCCCCGCGCATTTCACCTCCTCCCCTTGAATCGGCTCCTTCCAACTTTGAATACTCCTTTCCCCCGCCCTTTCCTCTTCCACCCTATTCACGCCCTGTACGATTCTACAACCCCACAATGCTAAAATCCGCTTGCCCCACGCAATCAAAACGCCCTCCAACCGCTTCCCCCTCAACCCCCCACCCACTTTCCTCCATGCCACCTTTTCTCTCCCCACCCTCTCCCCTCCCTCGTGGTGCAGTGTGCGGGTGGTGTCGTCAGCATTTGAGGGAGTGCCGACCATTCGGCGGCACCGGCTCATCTACGGGCTGCTGGAGGACGAGTTCAAGCAGGGCCTGCACGCGCTCTCCCTCATCACCAGAACGCCCGCCGAAGAGGAGCGCCTTTCCGTGCGCTCCTGAGCTCCCAACAACCTCAACGCGTGGCGCGTCTCCTCATTAGTACAACGCCTGCTGAGGAGGACTCTCTCTGTGCGCTCCTGAGCCCTGTGCACCGTAGCGGAAGCTGGTTGAGATGACTGACGATGCTGGGATTCGCAGGATTCTATGCTGCTGTTGTAGTGCACGTATGCAATGAGCTCCAGCCATTATTATCACTCACAGTATCATCTGTCCACATGTTCTAAATACAGTAGGCTTTGGTACACTAGTTGAAACAACTGCAAATAGAATCACGGCTGTGATGTCTCATGGTTGGATTTACGTATCATATTTCTCCCAATTAAAATCTTTGTGAAATTTAGATCTGTTCAAAATTAGTGGGTAATGATTTTGAACTGGCATTCAGTGCCTTAGCTTCTACGGGCTTGTAAGAGCAGGATACCCAACTGTACTATTTATCATGCTAGAATGAACTGGTTACAATCATACGCTTCAGCTCCACTGAAAGCACAAGCACCCTACACCTGTGGCCAGCCAACCTCACCCTGGCCAGCACCACCGCCACCACCACCAGCACCAGCACCCCCAGCTGCTTAAGCAGCCTTCTCCATCTTGAGCGACCCAGCAGCCTGTCCGCGCAGCCGCCCAGTGCGCCGGGCAGCAATGAGACCCACCTTCTGCCCGGCCGGCGCATCGCGGCGCACAGTGGACGCGTGACCAATGTGCTGGTGGTTACCACCACCGTGGGGATGCTCCACGGGGTTCATGGCCACACCACGCACCTTAGGCCACGAGTTGCGCTTCACGCGGTACTTATGGTACGCGTTTCCGGCCTTGAGCATCGGCTTCTCAGTGCGACCACCGCCCGCCACCTGGCCCACCATGCCACGGCAAGACGACGGGATCACCTTCTTGGAGCCCGACGGGAGCTTCACGCGCGTGGTGCCGTTATCTGGGTTGTGCGACACGATAATCGCATAGTCCCCAGATGCGCGCGCGATGGCGCCGCGGTCGCCCACGTGCTGCTCGAGGTTGCAGCAGACGGTTCCCTCGGGCATGGCGCGCACGGGCAGCACGTTGCCGATGCTGAGCGTGGCCTTCTTGCCACAGTACACGAACTGCCCCGTGTACATGCCCTCCGCCGCCACCATCAGCTCCTTCTGGTGCTTGAACCGGAACGGGTGCCGGAACTGCACCTGTAGCGCGGATATGGGATGCGGGGGATGGGATTAAGGGGGGGGGGAAAGGGGGGGCGTGAGGGGGACGAGGGGGGAGGGAACGGGGGGCGTGAGGGGGACGAGTGGTAGGGAGGGAAGGGGAGGAGATGGAGGAGTGCGGGAGCGGAGTAGGAATGGCGAAAGGAGGGGGGAGGGGGGTGTGGGGGGGGAGGAGGAGGGGAGCGGGGAGGGGGGGGAGGAGGAGGGGAGCGGGGAGGGGGGGGAGGAGGAGGGGAGCGGGGAGGGGGGGGAGGAGGAGGGGAGCGGGGAGGGGGGGAAGGAAAAGTGCGGGAGTGGGGGGCTGGGGGGGCTGGTGACGGAGGGGTTGGTGCTGGTGGAAGATTGACCTCAGACAGCACGGCAAATGATTCTGCTCGGTACTGCAGTCCTCAACTGTTGTGCGTGAATTCCGCACCCCGGCACAAAGCCCTCACGCGGATGACTGCTCCTGCTATTAGTTCGATCGCGTGGCCATAACTACGCATTCCCCGTTTACTCTGGCAAGGTCACGATTGTCACCAGTAGAGACCAGCGAGACGATGAACTCTAGGCGATCGATAACGCCCTTTTCACAGCGGCTCCATGGCGAGTGCATCCAAGGCCATGCTATCGTGGCATCCCATGCCATCCTGCCATCCCTTGTCATGCCATGTCATGACTTTCCATGCCATCTTACCATCCCACGCCATCTTACCATCCCATGCCATACCATGTCATGCCATCCCGTGCCATACCATGTCATGCCATCCCATGCCATACCATGTCATGCCATCCCATGCCATGCCGTATGTCATACCACCTCTACATCAGCTGCTATTCTACGCGAGCCCGCAGTCAGGAAAGGAACCAGGTCCTGCGTTCACTGACTTCCTGTGTAACTTCATTAGTCCAGGCCTTTTACGACCCGACCTACCATTCTAGCCATCGTGCGCTGCTAGGCCGCTCATACCGCTCATACTGCTTCGAATGAGCCACTGGACCTCACCTGGGACCCAGCACTTAAGCCCGACCCTGATTCAGCGACGTAAGGAATCGTTTAGGGTACCAAAGCCCTGAACAGGGTCGCAGAGCTCGGACCGCACTGACCTAATTCACAACGGAACTGCTTTTCCAAGTCCGTAACGCCTGGATATAGCCAACGTGCGGCTCCATAGTCGCAAGTGATGTGTGCACTCTTGTTTGTATCATCGACAGCTACGATTTATACCTGTCTGCTGCAGTATTCGAGTAGCTGCATTTGCGAAAAGAAGATCGAAATACGGGAGCACGTACCCTAGCGAGAGGAGCACCGCGGCCCGAGTCGTGGAGAATCTCGGTGACGACGCCCTTGATGTAGCCGTTGCGCTCCGAGTAGTCCAGAGACCGGAATCGCGCCGCGCCCTTGCGTTTGTGCGTGTGCGATACGAAGATGGAACCCGCACCCTTACGCTGCGCGCGAATCACGCGACCCATGGCGACTGGAGCGGTGGAGCAAGGGGAAATTTGGGAAAGAATCCCGGACAGATGAGAGAAGGACGAAAAGAAAGACGAAACTGAAAAAAAAAAAAAAAAAAAAAAAAAAAAAAAAAAAAAAAAAAAAAACTCGTCCCTGGATGGAGAGACTAGGTTTTCCTGCCCTTGGGTCGGCCTATGTGTTCCGACTACATCCCACCGGCTTCTGCGTGCAAGACCATATGATCGCGAGGTCGATGCGCACATTCTGCTACTATCGCCTGCGGGGATTGCTCTCTAGCCGTCCGAGCCGTCCAGTTCAGGTGACCAGCTTCCTACAAACGCGCGAAATTGTAAAACGACGCTGGTATGTGACGCAAGTGACCCAGTCGCTTCGCATCCTGCTTGCTAAAAATGTTAACCCTGGTTTAAACGAAAAACGATAAGCCTTGTTGAGGAGGGTGAGCACCGCCCTGAAACCACCTCAACTGAAGACATTTCGCATTAGCCGTTAGCTGCTTCAGGGAGAGTTTGAGAGCCATAATAATAGGTGCCTGAAGAAACCTCGCGACATAATAGGTGAATGTCCGGAATCGGTGCTTCCTCACCTTACTTATCTTCAAGCGCAATAGTAGACCCAGAAAAATAGCTCCGACGAGCGGAGAAATAAGAAGTCGACCTTTACTATCGTCGTACTGTATAGTAATCCTTGCCCTAATTCCCTGACAGACGAATTTTCCCTCCCAAGACCCACCCCACAGAGCAGAACAGACTGAGAGGACCCTGGTGAGCCCAAGGGGCGGGTTTTCAGGCAAAACCACTCCCGTAGTGCTACCCCCCCACCTCCTTACCCTTGCTCGTTCGTTTCACACTCTTCCCCCACCACCGATGTGGTTCGGCTCTTCGTCCTCCAAGCCATGGTGTGGTTCGGCACTATTGTTGGAATTGGGGGAGGGAAAGTATGCAAACACGGGTGGTTAGCCACCCGTCCGTGGTTTTTGATAACACAAGGGGGTTCAGCAGTTTCAACGCAGTTTCAGGGCTTTATAAACATTGCGGAATTTCATTGCCTTGTATTTTCAAATATGAAGTACATGAACATGTAGTTCATAGTATCACAACGAATGCTCACAGTATCAAACCGTGCATATTTTGCCTGAATTTTTTTTTGCGTTATGCATTATTTCAAGTCGACGAAAGCAGCTCTAGTGCAAAACAGGGTGCAACCGCATAGCAGTGATGATGAAACCATATATAGCTCTGGTCATGCTCTATATGGCATCCATAGAGTTATATGGCAGTGTTTTGTCTCTATTTAAATATGCTATCGAGATATTTGTGGGTTGAGCCGAAATGATGTCGGAATCGCGGAAATACAAGTTCCCGCCTTACGGTGGTTGGGTTGATCGCGTTACAGGGCAGACCAGCCTCGTGAGAAGGCATCAAGATCACCAAAGGGAACCAATAAGGCGGAGCGTCCTGCCTGAGCTGGCTTGTGCCACGTCTGCCACACAGCAGTTTTCGCGCCCATTTCTCGCGCGACCCACTGCAGCGGCTTGGTGAAATCTTGAGGGCAAACCTGCACAACCACTAGGTTCGGACCGAAGCAGGCTGCATCAAGGCACAAATTTCCGTATGGGTTTCCTGAAAAACATTTCGAAGAGGCGGGAAGTATTCAAAATTGTTTTTTTTTCCTACTCTGTGTGCTCTCCCTGGTGTTTGTTCTACACCAGCACGTAGGTCTTTTTAAGGGGTACACTATTCAGGAAAATCCTTAAATGGGGCTCTTGAAGAGAAATCGTCGTTGCGGCATAAAACAAGATCCAGGGCAATGGTGGCAGCTGCTATGCATCATCAGCGGCACAGCTGATTGAGCCGAATCTTCCACAGGAAAAGAACTCTGACACAAACCCATCCAGCCTCAAATCCCACCCAAGCCTCAGTTATTTGTTGAGGTGCACGATGCCGCTGCACACTAGCTTGGCAGCGTTTCCCACCGCTTTGTTGATGAGTTTGACAAGCAAACCAGATCCGGTGAGTCCACCACCACGGAAACAGAGCCTTGTATCCCAAAACTCATTCCAAAGGCTCTCTGCTTCAACTATCAACCGTGTGTAGAGTCGGTCTGGTCGTGCCAGTTCCAGCACCTAGCTTCACTTCCCTTTGTGGAACGAGAAACTATTCCTACAACGTTTGTTTAAGCTGCTCTTGAAGGCTGCACGGCTCGCGCGGAAAACGCAAAGGTCAGCAAGCGTTCTCCTGCACAAGGCTACCGAGGCAGGACGGCCCACGAGCATGCTTCTATCGCTGTAATGGGTAAGCGCAACATTCACCGTACACCCGCAAAACGTGAAACTAAAGCAAAACTGTTGTATACTGTCATTCCTTCCTAAAAACGCCTTAACATGTACCTGGTTTCTGACGAGCTGTACACGGTCGAACCCATAGATAGCCACCCCTCCATAGGCCCACATGCATTTGCGAAAGCAAATACAGATTTCACATGGATAGTCTGAGACCTACATTTCGTTACCAGAGGTTTCCAACAATGGCTGCTCAACACCGTCCTCTTAACGGTGCTTGATCCTTTCCACCTTGCTTCCCGCCGACGTGAAGCGTCCGCGATGGACGGCGCAATGCGGGATCTGTTTGTGCTCGTCCTTCAACGCACAACCAGATCCGATCACGCGTGCCAATCGCCACGCAATCGTTGCCTCGGTTCTGTCTGTTCCTCATCCCTCTGTCCTCCGCATCCACAACAATCCCCGTAACTCCTTGTTTCAGAGTCCAGCGGCGTGTGCCGTGTTCAAGACGTGCTGTCTCCCGTTCTGCGTCGCCTGCTACCCTCAAGTTCACTGCGCCGTTTCCTGTCGTCGAAGGGACATCGCAACGGTCGACGCTCTATGTGGGGGTTCTCGCTCAACATGACGCTCGCCATCGCCATCATCGCGCTTCTGCCGCTTCTGCTCGGCGTCAGAGCAGACGAGGTTCATCTGTCGAATCGCGCTATCGCGTATCAAATCTGGCCCGGAGGCGGCGGCGCGTTTAACCCGGGAGGTGACAGCGGAGGGGGAACCGGCAGCGGAGGGGGAACCAGCAGCGGAGGGGGAACCAGCAGCGGAGGGGGAACCAGCAGCGGAGGGGGAAGCAGCAGCGGAGGGGGAAGCGGCAGCGGAGGCGGAAGCGGCCGCGGAGCTTTCCCGGGTGGTGGTGGCACTGGGAGCGACGGTAACTTCTTCCCGTCCCCCCAGTCCCCTTCCGGTGGCGGTTCCCCTAGCAAACCTCCCTCGCCCTCATCTCCTCCCTCCTCCAGCAGCCCCCCGAAATCCTCCTCTCCGCCCGTGCAATCGTCTCCCCCGGCCGACCAGTCTCCGCCTACCTCGTCTTCGTCTTCCCCTCCCGTTAATCGATTCAAGACAGGTCCCCCATTTGGACCGCCTAAGGCTCCAGATTTCCAGGCGCCCCAGTCACCGCCGTGGCAGTTCCCGCCTGTCGGATCCCCGCCAATCCCACAGTCCCCGCCCAAGCAGTCCCCGCAGTCTCCGCCCAAGCAGTCTCCGCCCAAGCAGTCCCCGCCCAAGCAGTCCCCGCCCCAGCAGTCCCCGCCCCAGCAATCCCCGCCCCAGCAGTCCCCGCCCATTCAGTCCCCTCCCAAACAGTCCCCGCCCAAGGAATCCCCGCCCAACTCTCCGCCCTTTTATCAATCCCCTCCCAACTCCCCACCCGATTGGTCGTCCCCTCCTTATTCGCCTCCGTTTTCCCCTTCACCCTCCTTGTCCCCGCCCCGAGCTTCCCCCCCCAAGAAGTATACAAACTCGTCTCCTCACGCTCAACCTCCACCCTCTCTCTTCCCCGCACCATTCCCGCCGTCCTCGAATGCTCCTCCTCCCACCTTTGCTGAGCCCCCTTCAGCTTTCCCTCCTGACGCACCCCCTCCGGAATTTCCGCCTCCTTTACTTAGCCCTCCGCCGCCAAAGCCCCGATTGAGTCCCCCCCCGCCCCCACCGAGCCCGTCTCCGCCTCCGCCAGTCCCCCCACCTGCGCCTGCGCCTGTTCCCGCGCCCGCGCCTGCGCCATCGGAACTCGTCGATGCCCCCGCGCCAGAGCCTGCCGCTCCGCCTCCGCTTTTCTTTCCACCGCCTGTGCCCCTTAGCCCGCCCCCGCATCCCCCGCCAACCCCGCCTCCTGTGCCGCCCAAGGCCCCCTCTCCGCCACTCTCGCCTGGCTCCCTCTTCCCCAATTCGTCTGTCGCGCCGCCTGTGTACTTTCCCCCTTCTCCGAAGCCCCCCCCGCCCCCCCCAGCGCAGCCCCCGTCCCCTCCACCTTTTGGTCCGTCTCCACCGCCCCCTCCTGCGCCTCCCCCACCGCCGCCTATTATCATTCTGCCCTCTGATGATGGATCAACAACGGGGACCAGCAGCGGGGGGATGAGCACTGCTGCTCTGGCAGGAACGATCATTGGAGTGGTGCTCGGTGTGCCGTTGCTGGCTGGAGGCGTCTGGATGGGAGTGCAATGGATGCAAACTTCTCATGCAGCGGCTGCTGTCAAAACTGCAGCACCGGGGGGAGGATAGCACATTACCGGTACCGTGAGAGAGGAGCTGCTAGCGGCTGTGGCATTCGGAAGATTCCGTTAGTGTTGTGGTAGGTTATTATCAGTGGTAAACTATTCATATGATGTGGTATTTATGACCTCAAGCTGCAAATGGTGATGGAGTGCATGTGTTCTGTAGGGTTTATGCTACCGCGTTCTACCAGCATGACCACCAACCAGTGGGATCTGATTGCCATCTCTGAAGCCACATACAGGATGCTAACACTGGTAGTCAGTCCCAAGGCCATGATGCAGCTGACGGTTCTCTTGCTAGTCTTTTTCTTTCTAATCTAGGTTATTCCAGCCCTCAAATTAGTAATTTTCTTCCGTTATGCGTCCAGTTGAGCAAGAGAAGAGGTACTGCACAATTGGGGCAAAGAAGAGGTACTGACGTACAATGTGAGCAAGTGTAGATATGAGAAAACATTAAATAGCGGAGACACTAACAGTTAAGCCTGAAAACTGGATAGGCTGGCAGTGCTACACTGTCATCGTGGGTAGGTGTTACGAGTGCAATTGAGTGAACGAACGAGAATTGCACTATCGAAGCAAAAGTACAATGAGCGAAGGCATGAGCGAAGGTTTATATAGCGAAACAATAGTGGTAACGGTAATGGACACTGGTTGTCGCGCGACGAGCCTGGGGCTGAGGTTGGGAAAGTGTCGAAGCGTAGGCCCGGAGCGCGGGTTACCAGCCGGGCCGTGAGGTCGGGATGCGATGTGCGAAGAGGGCGGGATAATGAATGATGCGATGGTCGTGAGTGGTAACGGTGCTGACTGAGGTGCTACAGTGACGTACGCGTTGAGCAGGGACGCGAAGTAAGGAAAAGGGAATTTCCTTACACTACCCCCCTCCCCAAGGAGGCCCCTCTTACGAGAGCGCATGGACGTCGCGGAAATTTCGGCTTCGCAGATACTCGGGGAAGACAGGGTGGTTCTCAATTTTATCCAGGGGGACCCAGTTGTCTTCTGTGGGCGTTCGGTCCTTCCAGCGAATTAGGAACTCTATCCTTCGGGCTCCCCGAGGGTCGCGGACTCGGTGGCTGAGGATTTTTTCAGGGGTGATGAGTGGTTCGGTTGGGGGACGTGTCATGCTGGCTGAGCGATTTCGTGGCAGTTGGCTCGTGGATGGGATGTAAGGGCGAAGTAGGCGGACGTGGAATGACGGGCTGACGTACCAGTCGGCAGGGAGGAGGAGGTGGGCGGTGACGGGTGTGATCATGTGGCTGATGCGGAATGGTCCACAATACCGGGGGCGAAGTTTTGGAGTGATGGGCAGGCGAAGGTTCTGAGTGTCGAGTAATACGAGGTCGTCGGGCTGATAAGTAACGGGTCTGCGATGTCGATCGGCGTTACGTTTAGCGATGATGTTTGATTTTTTGATTGCTTCTGCTGCCCTGGTCCGTGCTGCTTGCAGAATCTCGGCGAACTGTTGTGCTCGTGGGACTGGGTTGTCGGGATTCGGTGTCATGGGCACTGTTGGGTCTTGTCCGTAATTCAAATAAAACAGCGACTGTTGCGTCGTGGCTGATGGTGCGTTATTGTATGCGAACTCGATGAGTGGCAGCTGCTGTTCCCACGTATTCGGGTCGTCGCACGTGGCTCGAATCAGCTGCTCCATGGTCTGATTTGTCCGTTCCGTCTGTCCGTCGGTTTCGGGGTGATAGGATGAACTGAACTGTAAGCGCGTGCCGAACTGCTGCCACAGGTTCCGCCAGAAGTTGCTGGTAAATTTCGTGTCCCTGTCGCTGATGATCGACGCGGGTATCCCGTGCAGTCGTACGACGGTGGAGATGAATAGTCGGGCGGTTTCTTCGGCTGTGATGGATTTCCTGCATGCTGCGAAATGAGCCATTTTCGTTAGTCGATCGACGACGACCAGGATCGCGTCATTCCCACTCGTCCCAGTCGGTAACCCCGTGACGAAGTCCATCGTCACCTGCTGCCAAGCACGCTCTGGAGGCGGGATGGGTTGTAATTGCCCCGCTGGTCGCTTCCTGCTTGACTTCATGAGCTGGCAAGTGGGACACGATGCCACGTGTCGTTGCACATCGGTCAACATTTCTGGCCAGTAGTAGTACCGCTGCAGCTGCTGCCGTGTTTTTTCTACCCCGAAATGTCCCGAGGTAACTCCGTCGTGTGCTTCCTGTAACAGTAGTTCCCGCAGTAGCGTGTATCCCGGTACCCAGATGCGGTCGGTTCCAGCTTTTACGTAATAGACTCCTTTTGCCGCTGCGAATTGCTGTGAGTTGCCTCCTGTAAAGAACGAGCCTGTTTGATATCCGTGGGTAAATAGGCCGGTAAGCAGTGGGCTGGTCTGGGCGAGTAGTATCGCGTGGATCTGGGCAGTGGGGCGGGTCAGTGCGTCGACGATATTCGATGCTCCTTTTTTGTATCTGACCGTATAGTGAAAATTCGACTCGAGGAAATCGAGCCATCGAATCTGTCGTGGGTTGAGGTGGGGCTGTGCGCGGAGGTACTGTAGAGATCGGTGGTCTGTCCGTACTGTCACGTCTGCGCCAGTCAAGTAGCAGCGCCAAACTTTGAATGCATGCACGATCACGAGCATTTCGCGGTCGTGTATCGGGTAATTTCGCTCAGGTGGATGTAGTTTGCGTGATTCGTAGGCGATGGGTTGGAGGCCGTTGCCGAAGTCCTGTAACAGTACAGCTCCGATGGCGATGTCACTTGCGTCGGTAACCACTTCGAAAGGGCGGTGGGGATCAGCGATACGTAGAACGGGTGGTGAACAGAGGACGTTTTTTAGGGCAGAGAAGGCAGCATGCTCTTTCTCCCCCCACGTAAAAGCGACCCCCTTACGCAGTAAATCAGTTAGTGGGGCTGTTAAACGTGCCATGTCGGGCACGAACCGTCGAACGTAATTAACAAACCCTAAAAAACTCTGCAGTTCCGTGATGTTTGTCGGGGGGCGCCACGCTTTTACCGTATCCAGCTTCTTTGGGTCGATCTCAACCCCAGCCTCGGAAATGACGTGACCTAAAAACTCTAGCCTATCCTGAAAAAACTCGCACTTGGAGCCCTTGGTGAGCAGCCGATGTTCCTCTAAAACCTTAAAAACTGCTTCAAGATGTGCTAAGTGTTGCTGCTTATCCCGACTGTAAACGAGGATATCGTCGAGGTAAACGATCACGCATTTATCTAAAAGTGGTCTAAACGCCTCGTTCATGGTCATCTGAAAAGTCGCAGGCGCGTTCGTCAACCCGAAAGGCATTACTGTATACTCGAATGACCCGTACCTAGTCCTAAATGCTGTTTTTGCGCAGTCCGATGGTTCGACCCGAATCTGATGGTAACCTCCCCGTAAATCTATTTCCGAAAAGACACGTGCTGTTCGCAGTTGGTCAATCAGTTCGTCGGCGCGGGGGATGGGGTATCGCGATTTGACTGTGACTCGGTTAAGCGCTCGGTAGTCGATGCACATGCGAAAACCTCCGTCTTTTTTCGGTGTGAACAGTATGGGTGCGGCGAACGGTGACGAGCTTGGTCGAATAAACTGCTTCTCTAACAGGTAATCTAACTGCTTCCTTAACTCGTCGAGCTCCGGCTGTGTCAATCGAAATTGCCGCTGTACTGTTGGCTGTGCCCCCGGTTCTAGCTCGATCCTATGGTCGTGCGCTCGCTGAGGTGGCAGTCCCTGTGGTAAATCATCCGGAAATATCCCCAGGAACCGTTTCAGTAGTGTCTGTAATTCGGTCGGTACGGCTGCTAGCAGTTTCTTTAAATCATTCTGCTGCTCGTCTTTTTCTACCACTGCGATATCCACTGCGTACACGTCGGCTCCAGCAGCGACAGCCCGTTTCATCGTGATGGCGTTGACCTGGACTGTCGAAGATTCGGGTGGCCGCCAGCGAGGTAGGACGACCCAGTTACCGCTACTTCGCACTGTGCAGCTCCACGTCGTCCATTTGATCCGTGGGTTGTACCGTCGCAGCCAATCACGTCCCAGTAAAATGTCGTGCCCATCCAGCGTCGTTGCGAGCATTTCCTGTGTAAACCCGAAGTTTCCCCCGCAGCGGACTTTTACTCGCTCCACTTTTTCTCGTATGGCCAATGGCGTGCCGTCGACTAAGCGTGCATCTATCTCAGGTAAACATCGGTTAAGTATTAACTGTAATCTCCGTGCGGTTGCAGTATTAACTAAGCTGTGACTTGCCCCTCCGTCAATGAAGATTTTCACTGCTGCTCCCTGTATTTTCCCGTAGATCAGTACCGGGCAATCCGTCGCTGTACCCTCCTTATTCATCCGAGCCCGATCGATGGCGTGAATCGGTACTGTGACTCGGTGAGGGTCGGTGTGGTTGGGCGAGCAGGCAGTCTCGTCAGTAGTTGGCCCAACTTCTACTGACTGCTGGCGTTTCCCTGCCTCCGAGACTCCTTCCTCTGCTCTGCTCCTCGACGCCTCAGCTCCTCTGGACATTCGCTCTTGCGATGGCCCGGCCGGTTGCAAGCAAAGCAGCGCCCTCTAAATGGCGTGGCAGCGGCATTCGTTGCGACGGCATGTACAGTGGCGTGCTCGATCGGTCCCCGAGGACGATGTCCGAAATAGGACCCCGGTCTCGGTCGGCGTAGGATATCGATTTTCTCGGCGAGCGCGAGGATTTCGTTGAAATTCGATAGCCCGCGTAGCATTATCTCGTGCGATATGTCCGGCTTCAGCCCTCCGACGTAACGGTCCACCCGCTCCGCCTCGTGCATGTAGCCGACCTGTTCGCAAAGTGCAAGAAAACCGCTGGTGTAGTCTTGAACCGACCCGAGCTGGCGCCAAGTGCGCAGTTTCTGACGCGCCGAAATCGAAGCCGCGATCGGCTCAAAACGCGCCCGAAGCCCTGCGCACCACGCATCCCACGTGCTGTATTGGGCTGTTTCGCAAAACGAACTCCAGGTGACAGCTGGACCCGAGGGCCCTTCCTCGTGCGACGGTGGCTCGTAGGCGCGTGGCGATGCACGATGACTCGCCACCAGTCCATGGCGGGGCCCCTGAGTAGTGAAACCGCATACCGAATCTTGGCGGCGTCCGACTCGACGTAGTTGGCGTCGAAAAACACATTCATCGTGAAGACCCACGATTGAACTGTCGGGCCGCCGCGTTGGCTTGGGTCGAAGCAGGGCGGGCGTTGCGGCTTGAGTGGCATTGGGGCCATCATGGCGTTTTCACCACTTGTCGCCGCAAACTCCACGTGCCGACGGGCTTCTCGGGGCTCCCGTGGGCTTAGCGTGCTCCTGTTCCCTCCCATGCCGGGCATCGGTTGGGCTGCGCCGTCACTGGCTGCGCCTGAGCGCTGTCCCGTGCTGTTGTGTTGCGTTGGTGTGCCGGATGAGATGACAATCGGCTCCTCCGAATGTACAGAAACATTGGTTGGTGCGTGGGATGTCGTCGGAACATTCACCGTTGACTGTTGACGGGCGGAGTCACGTTCCGCCGTGAGCGTCGCGATTTCAAGCGCCGAATCCTCCAATTGTCGCACGAGACGATCGAGTTGCTCCTGCGTCAACGTGGCGAGATTGAGGTCGGCCATGGCGGGGGTGTCGGGCAAGCTCAGCGAGAGCCTCGGTTGTGGCCTTGCGTGCTTGCGAGAGGGCACTACGAGCGGCGGTGCTGTGTCGCTGAGAGACGTCTACCCCCCCCCAAAAATTGAGATAGTGGGAAGCGAAGGTGTGGATGCGGTCCGAGATGAGATCGTAGGCTCTGAATACCAAGTGTTACGAGTGCAATTGAGTGAACGAACGAGAATTGCACTATCGAAGCAAAAGTACAATGAGCGAAGGCATGAGCGAAGGTTTATATAGCGAAACAATAGTGGTAACGGTAATGGAATGTGGTTGTCGCGCGACGAGCCTGGGGCTGAGGTTGGGAAAGTGTCGAAGCGTAGGCCCGGAGCGAGGGTTACCAGCCGAGCCGTGAGGTCGGGATGCGATGTGCGAAGAGGGCGGGATAATGAATGATGCGATGGTCGGGAGTGGTAACGGTGCTGACTGAGGTGCTACAGTGACGTACGCGTTGAGCAGGGACGCGAAGTAAGGAAAAGGGAATTTCCTTACAGTAGGGCTAGTCCAAAAGCGCAGGGGCTGATTCGGCCTTACGCAGCGAAGCAGAGTTGGGTAGAGTGACAGTTGAGGTCCAGAAACCATTGTTGTAAGCGACAAAAATGTTGATCCTTGTTACAATCTTACACTACGAGCAGGTGTAACAAGAGCGTGCGAAGGCCTCTACACTCACCAAACCAGACTTCGTGTGCTTTCGAGCTTTTTGGTTCCCTTCTGAGAAATCGAAATGTGCTGGGCTGGTCATGTGTCGCCTACTTGTCAAGTGCCTTGGGATCTCCAGCATCTCAAGTAGTCGCAGCGTTTACTGGACCACGCATTGCTGGATAATGGCTCCGGATTCGCCACCTTGGTCGTCTGTCGATTGCAATTAAGGACGTCTCTAGTTTTACTGTGCGGTTTCTGAGGATAGGGAATAATGACAAGTGAGCTGCTGACCAACCTCTTTCACATTGTAAGGATGCCGCGCCTGTTAATGGCACTCACTGATGCAGTGCGCGTGAGAGGCGATGAAAGGCGCATCAACTTAAATAGAGAAGAGCTTCGATTCTATCATGCTGTTTCCCTCTTTCAGCCCGTTGTCAGCCGCGGCTTTATGGCGCTTCTAGGCACACATGTTCAATGCGATTCCTTCGAAACTGAGTGGAAGCAATTTAAATGGAGGACGTTCCCTTGTAGAATTCATTAAATGCAAACGCTAGTTTCGTCTGCCTCCGCCATTGCTCTACCAGGTCCAATCCACGTTCAATGATCTCCGTCTCTCGCGCGTTCTCTCTCGCTCTCTATCTATCCCCCATGCTGGCCTGTCTCAACCCGCCAGGATAGCCCCGCCCACGTGTACTGGAAGCAGTGGCGCTTCATTCCCCGCGCTGCTCCCCGCGTCTCCCCTTCTCGCCCCTCCGCATCCGCCGCGAAGCGGACTCCACGCGGCACCGCTCGTGCCGCCTCCGCCGCTGCGCGCGCGGAAGAAGCGGAGGGGGGCGGGCGGAAATGGCGAAACGGAGGCGGAGAGGGAGCGGGGGAGGGGGTGGAGGGCACGCTGGCGGCGGTGCGGGCGGCAGTGAGGTGGCAGCAGTGGTGGAGGGCGAAGGGGATGATGGCTGTGTGCTGCTGGGGCGAGACGAGAGGCGCAGGTGGCGCACAGTGGGAGCCGCGCGTGTGGGTCTTCTGCTCCAACCCCACCTTCTCTTCAGGCCCGCGCCCCCCCTCGCGCCACCAGCAGCAGCAGCAGCAGCAGCACCATCACCGAACACGTGGGCGGGCAGGGCGCCGGGTGGGAGGAAAGGCCGGGGCAGCAGTAGCAGTGCGGAAGGCAGGAAGGGGAGGCGGCGGGAGGGTGTTTGAGAAGAGGCGGAGTGAGGCAGCGGCAAGTGAGGGCGGATGGGGTGGTGACAGCCTTGCTATGAAACCCACTTGTATGGCCTCCCTCCCCTCCACCTCCTTTCTCCACTCCTCTCGTTCGCTCTCTCGTTTTTTCTCTGTTCTCCTTTGCTCCGCATCTTCTGTTTCTCTGCATCTCCTCTCCCTCGACTCTCCTCTCCCTTTCCACTCGTCTCCCGCCTCTACCCTCTCTCACCCAGCAACTTACACTCTTTCCAAACACCCCCAACACTCCCCCTCTCCTCCCCTTCCTCCCCCCTTCCGCCCCCCTCCTTCCCCACCCCAGTGGCAGCATGGGGTTACTGGGCGGCGGATGGCGCGTGTGTGTCGTTCCGCTTGCACAAGCTGCCCACTCGCCTCAGGCGCGCGCACAGGGTAGCTGCGGTGAGGCGCAAGGGCAAGGCACGCGGGGGGACTACTGGAAGGTGCAGGAAGGCGGACGCTGGGGCGGGGATGAAGGGCGGAGGGCGCGGCAGTGGGTCGCGGAAGAGAGGGCGGGGTGGCGGAGGACGGGGGAGTGGCGGGGAGAGGATGGCTAAACGCGCGCGCCTGCAGGGGGAAGGGGGTTTGGAGGGACTTGTAGAGACTCCCAGAGGGAAGGCAGGGCGGGAGAAGAAGGGGGTGGCTAGCAGGCGAGGTGGGACAAGAGGCGTGCGTGGGAAGGGCAGAGGGGGAGGCAGACAGGCGGGAAAGCCAGGGGATCGAAGGCGAGCAGCAGGGGGGAAGCGGACTGGGAGGAGGAGGGTGGGTGTGAGCGGAGTGAAGCGGGCGCGGAGGAGGAAGAGAGTGGTGGTGATGGGTGGGGTAGGGCATGAGGAGGTGCTGTACTGGCTGTGCGAGGCGCTGAGGCAGAGAGTGGCGCGGTGAGTCATTGCATGTGGTGAACCAGCTTGTGCTGTCATGCGTGCTCTGCTCTTCCCTCCTGTGACTGCTGCCCACTACTAGTCCAGTCCAGATATGTCCGTACTCATCTATCTGTCTCTCCTCGCCTTCGCATTGTGCCCCGGTCCTCTACCTCCCCAGGATTCACTTGCTTCTTTTGTGTGTGTCCCAACGCCCATCCCATTGGTGTGCTATCTGTGTCCTCTTCCCCCCAACTCTTCTGTCCGTGTGCCATGGGGTGCCAGGGCGTTCGAGGCAGCAGGCTATGTGGAGTTCGATGGGGTCTTTGTCAAGCCCACCACCACATGCAGGTACGCCTGCGCTCACAACCCTCATGCCATGCCATGCCATGCCGTTCCATGCCATTCCACCCCACCCCATCCCATCCCACTCCACCCCAGGTGACTGCCATTATGCTCCCACCCATCCATCCTTGCTCCTCTCCTCTGCATGGTCCCACCCGCCGTTTTCGTCCCTAGCGTCCCTGTGGCAAGGCAGTTGTCTTGAGGTGCCTGGAGCCCCTTTCGTGCTCTCTGTCTGTGTGCAGCCAAGCCAGCCATGCAGCGGCCATTGCATGTGAAGTGCGGGTGCGCCCCTCCGCCTTCGGTCTCCTGCTCCACACGCACGTCTCCACCAGGTGATCTCACCTCACCTTGCCTCCTCTCACCTCATTGCTCTCCTCACCTCACGACATATCACCTCACCCCGCGGTGCCTCATCTTTCACACGAGCCAGCCAACCCCCATGAGGCGGATTGTACACCAGCAGCCAGCCATCAGTTCCCCGGGTCTTCCATTCTCACCCTGAATTACCCAGATTTCTGTTCCCGAAACCCCTGAATCATCTCTTTCTCTTGCTGTGACGCATGTGCCCCATGTTGTGGTGTGGTGTGGTGTGGTGTGGTGGACTGTGCACGTGTTGCCAGGTCGTTGCGGGCATTGACTCCTGCTGACTTCTCACAGCAACGACCCCATGGCTCCGCGCTGCCAGGTGAGGCAATGGTGTTACCAGGTGAGGCAATGGCGTTACCAGGTGAGGCAATGGCGTTACCAGGTGAGGCAATGGCGTTACCAGGTGAGGCAATGGCGTTACCAGGTGAGGCAATGGCGTTACCAGGTGAGGCAATGGCGTTACCAGGTGAGGCAATGGCGTTACCAGGTGAGGCAATGGCGCCGCCACACACCATGTGCCATGAGAAAGTGCCAGCATACACATGCCGTGCATCAATCATGGCGCCGTCAACAGTGACATGCTCGCGCTCCCTGCTGCACCTCATCTCAATCCCTCTTTCCACGGCCAGCCCACCATCCACCTACGCTCCCATCCCCTTCCATACCCGATCCCCGCGCTTCCCCTCGCTTCTGCCCCCCTCCCTCCATGGCAGTGCTGCTGGCGCCAGCAGCGTGGCCTGCTCTGGTCCATCGCCTCACGCCTCCCCGCCTCATCCGTTTCCTGCGTCGCTGGCGCGTGGAGCAGCACTTGAGGCGCATACAGGGAAGAGAGGCGCGAAGGGGTCTAAGGGCAGGGGCAGTGCGGACGAAGCAGGGGAAGACTGCGAGACGGGGGTTAAGGAGGGCGACAGGGAAAGCGAAGCAGAGGAGGAGTGCTGTGGCCGTGAATGGACAGGAGAGGAAAGGGAAGAAGGGGAAAGTGGGAGTGCGCGTGGGGAAGGGAAAGAGGGGTGGGAAGAGAGCAGCTGTTGGTATAAATCGGAAGGGTAGCGGTGGTGAGAAAAAGAAGAAGGGAAATGTGGCAGGGAAGAAAAATCCAGTTAGGACAGGAGGAAATAAAAAGAAGGGAATGGTGGTAGGGAAGAAAAATCCAGTTAAGACAGGAGGAAAGAAAACGAAGGGAAAGGTGGTAGGGAAGGGTGGCGCCAGAGTAGCGAGGAAGAAGGCAGGTGAAGCAGGGGCGAGGAAGATAAAAGGAAAACCAGGACGGGCGAAGAATCGACCGTTGGCTAAAGTGGGCGTGAGGAAAACGCTGGAGAAGGCGGTCCAAGCAAGAAATAAAGTGGTGGTTGCGAGGAAGGGGAGGAAGAAGAAGAAGAAGGTGACTTTTGCTGATGTGCACGGTTGGAAGGCGGTGACACGGAACAAGGGCAAAAGACGAGTGAAGCTGCTGCACACGATGTGAGTGCATACAATGGGATTGAAACACATGGTTCGGGAGAATGGCAGGAAAATGAATAGACTGTACTGTGAGAAGACATGGGTAAGTGCATGTCTGCACGTTCTTCGAGTCACATGCTGTATGTTTGATTACTAATGTGACATGGTGAAGACCCTGTAATAATGATGGCATACGCGGATATGGCGTGTCCTGGATGGCAGGGGCATATGCATGGTAGTTGAACCGTTTCCTGTATGTGTGATGAATATTCACTGCTCTCCTCTCCCTCTCTCTCCCTTTCTCTCCCTCCCTCTCTCCCCCGCTCGTGCCCATGGCCCTCTGTCCCAGTGGCAAGTGGCAGAAGCTGCTCTCCCGCCATCCATCCGCCGCTTGCCTCCCTCCAGCCATCTCTGCCGCCCTGCAGCCGCCCCTGCCGCCCGCTGCCTTGCCGCCCACGTTTGTTGAGGTGGAGCTGTTGGTGCCGGTGGTGGGCAGGCAGGGCGGCGTGAAGCGGCGGGGGAGGGGTGGGGGGAGTGTGGGCCGGGCGAGGGGTTTAGAGGAGAGAGGAACAGGCAGGGGGTCTGATGGTGGGAAAAATATGGTAGGTGGTGAGGGGGATGAAGGTGGGATGGGCGAGGGGGGGCGGAAAAAGGGTGAAGGGGAAGGGGAGGAAACCTTGAGGGGTGGTGGGGCAGCGGGGAGTGGTGGCAGCGGGCAGGCAGGGCAAGCAAGAGGTGGTGAGAGGGAACATCTGGGCGATGTGTCTGCAGCAGGGCGCGAGAAGAAGGGCAAGGGACGAGGAGGCGAGGCGGGCGCAGAGGGAGGGCTTGGCACAGTGCATGGGCGCGGGGGGCAGGAGGGAGTGTTGCGCGTGCGGTTGCTGGTGGACTCGCGCCTCGCCATGCTGCCGCTCTTCCACCCGCCTCCTCTGCACCTCCTCTCCTCTCGGTCCGTCCCCTCTCCTGCCCCTCACTCATGAGCTCTGCGTCTTCATCTCACCTGTGCTGTCATGCCATGTCGCATTGTGCCAAATGGCAACTCCTGCCTGCCACCATCTGCCCACTCCCACAGCACAGCACATTGGAACATTGCAATGTCGCGTGGCTCCATGCAATGCAGCATCTTCCCGGTCTCTTGATGACAAGCTGTAGCATAGGGGCCACGTGTCCATGTTTTGATTATACTTCCTCATCCCCTTGCCATGCTCCTTCGATCTTCTCCCTTGTATCTCTCAAACGGTCCTTTGTATTAATTCAGCAGGGGTACAAATATGCCTCCTCTCTCTCTCTCTCTCTCTCCTCCTCCCTTCCTCCCCTCACCACAACGTGCCTGTCCTCCCCTCCCGGCTCCCTCCCCGCTACAGCATCCAGCAACTGCTCCCTGCCCACCAGCCATCGCTGCTGCCCTCGCCACCCAACCCACATCCCCCATCTCGCCAACCACACCCCTCCACGCTCCCCACCCACAATCCCGCCACTGCTGCGCCTCTTACCGCTGCACCCTCTCTCCACCCGGCCCCTCCCTCCCACCCTCCTGCCTCTTCCATTCCCCCTGCCTCTTTTTCGCCATCGCCACCGCTCTCCTCTCTCCCCCTCGCGCTGCCTCATCGCCTCGAGCTTGCTGCACCTCTCTCCTTCCTCCGAATGCTGCCCAGGTAACGCCCTCTGCCCACTACCCCCTCCCCCTCTTTCCCCCCACACCCCCATTCCCTCATACACCCCTCCCCCCGTCCTGTACCCTCTTAATCTAGACACATGGGTGCCTGCACTCACTGCATTCTCTCTGCATCGTCTCTCTTTTTGTTCCTCGCAACGCGCCTTCTTCCTAATCACTCTCCTTGTGTGTTCGTCTGCCCCTTCATCCCCATGCCCCCATCACAGGCCGCCCCAACCCAAGCCATCCACCCATCCCCCCGTTTTGCCACCACCCACCCCTCATCGCTCCCCTTCCCCTCCTCCCTCGCCCCACCCCACCGCTCCTGCCTCCCCTCCACCTGCGCCCGCGCCTCCTCCTGTCCCCTCCGCTGCTGCTGAAGCTTCCACTGTCGCCAAGGAAGGGCAGGAGGGGGCTGAGCAAGGCAGGGAGGCGGAAGGGGGGCGGAGTGGCAAGTCAATGGGCACGTGGCAGGTGGTGGCGGTGGGGCGGGGGGAAGCGGAGGGAGGTGGTGATGGCAGGGATGGGGGGAGTGGGTCTCAGGCACTGGCGAGCAGGGATGAGGATGGGCAGGTGAGAGGCATGGGGCACGGGGCATGGGGCATGGGGCATAGGGCACGGGGCATTGGGCATGGGGCATGGGGCACGGGGCATGGGGCATGGGGCATGGGGCATGGAACATGGGGCATGGAACATGGGACATGGGGCATGGGGCATGGGGCATGGGGCATGGGGCATGGCTAACTGGTTGTGGTTGCTAGCTGCATGGCGTATGGGCATGTGTGCATTGTTGCCGGTTGCTGGTAGCTGCGTGTGTGCATGCATGTGCTTGTGCATACTAGCCAGCCACCTCCACCGTCTCTCATCTGCACACTACCCCTCACCACTCCCCTCTCCCCTCTCCCCCTCATCTCCTCTCGTCGCCCATCCTCTCCTCTCTCCTTCTCGCCTCCTCCCCACCTTCCCCCTCCTGTCCCCTCCCCATCATCCACAGCAGCGCAGCAAGAGGGCGCGCACGACTCCCCCCACCATAGGCCTCGACGCCATGCGTGAGCCAGACCTCTTCTGGTCCCACCCGCTCAACGCCTGGTTCCTAGGCCCGGGAGACGCCGGGGCCGAGCCTGGGCCCGAGGCTGGGGGTGAGGGCGGGGGCGAAGGGGCGTTGGAGGTGGTACTGGGTGTGCAGCAGCTGGTGGCGGTGTTGGATGAGGTGGATGGGCAGGTGGTGGCTGGCATGCGCGCCGAGGGGGGCGTGGGGGCGCTGCTGGCCGAGGAGGATGGCGATGAGCAGTGGCTCGGCGAGGTGAGTGCCCAAGGAGGTAGGGACGGGTGCGAGCTGGAGGTGTGAGGAGGAGGGGTGATGGGGGAAGGTGCGGTCGGGGGGAGACTGAGGGCTGTGAGCAGCAGATTCAGGTGAGTGTTGGGGAGATGGAGGTGTGGTTGTGATGCAAGAGAGGCAAGTCACTTGGTGGCGTTGCCAAGTATCGGTGTCTCATACTCTCTTTCTGCCCTTCCTCCTTGCCATCACCTCCATCTGCTCTCCACCTCTCCTTCCGTGCCCTCTCCCACTCCCCTCCCTGTCCCCATTCCCCCAGCTTCCCGGAGAACCTCCTACCACCGCTATCCACACTGCACACCTCACCACGCACCGCGCACCACACACACGCAGGCATGACAGCACAGCATCGGCATCCCAGGCATCCCTGGCCCTGCGTGCGGGGCGCAGGGCGAGGGCCATTCGCCTGGAGCAGCGCGTGCAGAACGAAGCAGAGGTGCTGCTGCCGCCTGCATACACTGCTACTGCCAGCGCTGGGAAGCAACACGCACGCACTGCAGGAGCAGCCGCACCGGCACAGGGGGGTAGTGAACAGGCGATGGCAGGAGCGGCAGGTGCTGGGGCAGGGGCTGTGGCAGGGACAGGGCAATTGAACAGTCGCGCAGATGGAAGTGTGGGCGTGGAGGTGTTGAAGGAAGGGAAGGATGCGAGGGAAGGGAATGAAGCAACGGGGCCTGGAGGCGCAGCAAGAGACGGAGCCCCGTCGAGGTTGTACCGTAGCAGTGTTCCTGCCTTTGCCCGGCGGGTGCTGCTGTGCCCGCCAGACCCACTTGCTGCTCCTGCCCCTGTGCCCGACCACTCCCACCTTCCGTCTGCCTCTACTGCTGCCGTCCACCCTGTGGGTTCATCCCAGCATGGCAGCTCCATGCCTGCTGCTACCAGCAGCACCAGCACCACTAGCAGCCGGCAGCGGTACGTGTATTCAGAGCTGCCACCGCCCGCCACGCCTCTTACCGCATCTCTCCCCGCATTGCCACCGCACTCAGCTTCTGCCACCGCCCCCTCCTGCCCCGCTACTCCCCCTCTCTCTGATCAACCCCTGAACCGGGCGTCGTTGTTCCTGCCCCTGCCCGGGGCACCCCTGCACGCCTCTGCTGCTGCCGCTCCCCCCCCTGGCGGCACGATAAGCAGGTCTGGGGGGGGCGTGGCCCCTGCTGCTGCTGCTGGAATGCGTGATGTGGGGGGTAGTGGCAGTGGTGCTGGCGCCGCTGGTGCTGCTGGGGCAGGTGGGGTTGGTGTGGCAGGGGGATCAGGGCTGGGGGTGAGCGATGGTGCGAGGGACAGCAAAGGCCTGCCGCCCTGCACACCTTATGAGCTGGTGCCTGCTGTGGTGTCGCCTGCGCCAGGAGGAGGAGGAGAGGCTGATGGTGGCGGCATGAAAGTGGAAGGGGTGGTGGTGCGTGGGGAGCAGATGGGCGTCACAGGGGAAAGGCCTGTTGTGAAAGAGGAGCAAGGGAAGGGAAGGGATGCGAGGAAGGAGTTGAAAGGAAGACTGAAGAAGGGCGAGCAGAGGTCAGGTGAGGCGGGGAGGAAGCGTAAATTCGTGAGGTTTGTGGGAGTTGACGGGGACGAGGCGGCTGATGGTGATCCTGATGGCGGGTTGACGAAGCGGCAAATGAGGCGCACTCATGGAGGCAGCTCAAGCATGGTGAAGAGAGAAGTGGATGGCCCGGTGGTAGGGACGCAGACGACGAACAAAGAGAGGTTGTCAATGGTGCAAGGGAAGACGACGGGGAAGAAGGGTGGGAAGGTGGGCAAGAGAGGGAAGGCGGCACGTGCGGTGCAAGAGGGGAAGGTGGGTGGTGCTGGGGATGGAGTGAAGGGAGGACGAGGTGTTGCGAGCTCGGTCAAGGTGGGTAGCGCGGATGATAGGAAGGTGACTGGAGTCAAGGTTGGGGAGAGGAGGAAGGTGAAGGTGAAGGGGAAGGGGGAGTTGAAGGGTAAAGGGAAGGGGAAGGGGGAGGTGAAGGGGAAAGGGAAGGGGAAGGGGGAGGGGAAAGGGGAGGTGAAGGGGAAGGGGAAGGGGGAGGTGAAGGTGAAGCGGAAGGGGGAGGGGAAAGGGGAGGTGAAGGGGGAGAAGAAGGGGAAGGTGAAAGGGGAGGGAAAGGTGGAGGCAAAGGGGAAGGGGAAGGTGAAGGAGAAAGGGAAGGGGGAGGTAAAGGTGAAGGGCAAGAGGAAAGGGGAGGTGAAGAGGAAGGGGGAGGTGAAGGGGAAGAGGAAGGGGGAGGTGAAGGGGGAGAGGAAGGTGAAGGGGGAGATGAAGGGGAAGGGGAAAGGTAAGGGGAAGGGGGAGGTGAAGGGGAAGGGTAAAGAGGTGGTGAAGGGGAAGGGTAAGATGAAGAAAAAGTTTAAGGGGGAGATTAAGGGGAAGCGGAAGGTGAAGGGGAAGGTGAAGGGGAAGGGGAAGGTTAAGGGACCAAAAACGAAGGTGCGTGGTGTTGGGGATACAGGCAAGCGCGTTGTGAAGAAGAAGAGGATGAAAAGCATCAAGGGGCGGCACAAGGGCGAGCGTGTAAGACGCTGGGCGGTGAAGGGCGGTGGAGCGCGGTTGAAGAGTAAACTGGCACACAGAGGGAGAAGACAGCAGCAGAGGGGAGGTCGAATGGCGCAGCGATGGCTGCTGGGGGCGGAAGTGAGTGTGGGGCGCTGTGGGGGGGACAGCAGGGAGGAGTGGGAAGCGATGCCTGTACTGGGGCTGCGGGAAGAGATGAGCATGATCAAGCTCTTGCTCTCTCATCCCCTCGCCCAGGCTAAAGGCAACGACGATGTGTGTGCGTGCAATAGGGTTGGTGGGACGACTGGCAGCATGGCACATTCGCTGGGGCTCAGTGTGCAGGCGGGGAATGCACAGGGTGCTGCTGCTGCTTCTGCAGCGGCAGGAGCAGCAGCTGCCGCTACTCATGCTGGTCCTGTTGTTGTTCCTGGTGGTGGTGGTGATGCTGCTGCATCTGCTCCTGCTGCTGCTGGTGCTGACGCGGTGCCAGCACCAGAGCAGCCGTCCCATCCAGCCCCTGCTTATGAATCCACAGCAGCAGAAGCACAGCAACCACCGAACACCTTACACAACCCCTCCACCACCCCAGCATCCCTGCAACCACCATTTGAACCCCCATCAGTAACAGCAGCAACTGCAGCAGCAGCAGTGGTGCCGTGTGCCGTGGTGCGGCAGGCAGAGGCTCTCAGGGACTCCTCTCTGGACACGGCTCTACTGGCAGCAGCACACGGCAAGTGTCCCTGGTGTGCTCGCCGCTTGCCCTCTCCCCTCACCGCCTCCTCCTCTGCGTCACCCCAGCAGCGCCAGGGCTCATGGGCGGGCACGCGTGGGGGATCGCCGCTGCTGGCGCTCTGTGGGGATGCTTCTGTGGTCGCTGCTAGTGCTGCTGGTGGCGCTGGTGGCAATGGAAGCAGCAGCAGTAGCAGCAGCAGTGCGAGGCAGCGTATCCTTGCCAGCCTGCAAGGATCTGTGAGTGACATAGCTTACTGGGCTGGGCCTGGGGCGCTTGTGCCTCACACATTTCTCTGCTGGAGGGGTTTGGTTTGGGGCTTGGGGTAGGAAGGGTTGCAAGTTGCTGGAGGAAGGTTCTGCTTTCCTTTCTCCTCCTGAACTCTGCTGCCCCTCATTTCCCACCTCTCTGATTCCACCTCTCCAGTTCGCCTCAAGACTCATATCCATATGGTAAGACACAACTCCTTGCCTGTGTGCCTGTGCGCTTCCTCCCACCATAATCCCCACAGATGCCCTCACCGCTGACTGCTGCGCTGCTGGCGGGGGAAGTGAAGTCGCTCCTCCTCGCTGCCTTTGGCTCCCGCCGCCTCACCGGCCCGCTCTCCCTCCCCGCCCTCGCTGCTCCCACCCGCCCCACGCTCCCCATCCCCACCCCCACAACCTCCCCTGCTGCCTCCCCCTCCTCCTCCCCCGCTCCCCCCGCTCCCCCCACCACCATCAAGCCACCTTCCCCTAAAGCTCAAACCGAAGCCGCGCCTGCTGCTGCTGGTGATGCAGCAAAGGTGGGGGAGGAGGTGCGGGGAGAGAAGGTGGTGGGGAGTGGAGGAATGGAGAAAGCGGCAGTGGCGGAGAGTCCAGTGGGGAAGGCAGGGGGTGGCGCAAGTGATGTGGGAAAGGGTGGGGTGGATGGGGGAGGGGATGGTGGGCGGCAGGGAAGGGGTGGGGTTGGGGATGCGAGAGTGAGAGAGGAGGTGGAGGAGGGAGAGGCTGTGGAGATGGAGGAAGGGGAGGCAAGGGAGGAGGGGGCTGTGGAGGAGGGTGAAGCAGTGGAGGTTGAGAGGAGACGGATGGGAGAAGAGGGGGGGAGCAGGGGCGCACGGGGAGTGAGGTGGGAGGGGGTGAAGGGCGGGGGTGGTGAGGAGGGGAGGGACGGGAGCAAGGGGGTGAAGGAGGAGGGTGAGGCAGGGGTGGTCGGTACAACGGCCGGTGCGAGTGGGGGGGTGGCGGAGGGTAAGGGCGTGGGCGCACGTAGGGAAGAGGAGGAGGGGGAAAGGATGAAGAGGAGTGGCCCAGGCGGAGGGGTGGAGGCAGAGGGCGGTAAGGAGGTGGAGGGGAGTAAAAATCCGAAAGGGAGTAAGGACGTGGAAGAGAGTAAGGAGGTTGAGGGTGATGAAGAGGAGGCAGGGAGCAGAGTGCGGAGTGTGGTGGCGCTGTGTCCGCCGGCAGTGCTGGTGGGGTATCAGGACGACTGGCTTGCCACGTCGCCCTCGCTGCTCCGCCTCTGGGACAAGGCGCCCTTTGAACCCTACTGCCTGCCTAAACCCGTACGCCCTGGCACACCTCTTACATGCACACCCACCCACCCTCCCATGCTCCTGTGCTCCTTTTCTGTACTACTCATCACACCCCGCGGTCTCTTGCTCCTCTGTTCCTGACTAGCCCCAAGGGTTCGTTCCTCATACTTTCGTCCCCCACCCCCCCTCCCCCACGCATCCACTCTCTCGCCTTCCCTTACAGCAGCTTCGTCCCTTTTCCACGTTTATTGCCATCCCTCCCTCCCTGCAAGTCCCCACCCCACCCCTTCAACTCCCCATCCCTTCAACTCCACTCCCCACCACACCCCGTCAACCCCCTCTTTTCACCTCCACACCGCATTGTGCCGTGGCAGCTATCGGTGCTGGCCATCTGTCCCGCGCTGCCTGCCCTCGCTCGCCCCCTTCGCTCCTTCCTCTCCGACCTCGCTTCAGGTGATGCCCGCTCTCGCCATCTCTCACTCTTCCCTATGCTCCACACCCTCTATTCAACCTCTCTTACCTCCCTCCCTACTCTCCATCCGCCCTGTACCCCCACGACGATGTTGTTTCTAAGTCGACGAATGAATAACGTAGCAGTGTGATGTGATATTTGTGCGCCTCGCCTACCCCCAATTGCCTTTGTCCATCCAACCACCCCCCCACACTGCATTCCCCTCTTAGCACTCATCCAATCTTGCTTCACCGTTCCGCACCGCGTCCTTCCCCTCCCCGTGCGCCCACTACAGTGTATGAGGCATGTTCCCTGGGCACCTTCTCCCCGCTGCTGCCGCTCTCCCCCGCCCCCGACCACCACCACCCACCGGGCATGCTACCAGTGCCGCTGCCCCCTGCCCACCTGCCCCCAGCCCGCGCCGTGGGTGCTTTCAGTGACGCCGTGGCAGCTGCTCTCGCCAAGCTGCCTCGCACTGCCCTCTTCCCCCCCACCAACTCCACCGACCCTGACCTTTGCCCCTCCACGGTGCACCCCCTGCCGAGCCGTTCACCCCATTCTCACTCGCTCACTCAATCACTCACCGCCCTTCTGTTCAGATTGCTCGTTTTCCCTCCTTCCACCCCTCTACTCTTGCTTGTCCGCCGCTGTTCCTCTCTGCCTCGCTGTCCCTCTCTGCCTCGCTGTTCCTCTCTGCCTCGCTGTTCCTCTCTGCCTCGCTGTTCCTCTGTGCCTCACTGTTCCTCTCTGCCTCGCTGTTTTTCTCGTTCCATCGGCCCCTCTTGGCGCATGCATCTAAAGCTGAGTCGGTCTGCCTCGCTCCATGCCGCCACCTCCCCTCTTCAACCAATGAATGCATCAAACAAGTCATGCATTTTCCACCGCAAAATTGCCACCACTGCTCAGCCTAACCAACCCTCTTCCTCCCCCTCCCCTCCTCCCCTTCCTTTGCTTCGCCCCCCTTCCCCGCCTCGCCCTGGTGTGGTGTATGCAGCTGCTCCTGCTGGTGTGCCCCTGGACATCCCCTGGGGCGTGCCTCTCCCTCTTCCTCCGCACTGCTGCCCACACCCACGCCCTCACGCTCGCTGCTGCCAAAGGTACCACCATTGCGTGTATGTTCGCTCTCATATGCCCCTTTGCCTCAATGCCCCCCTTTGCCTCAATGCCCCCCTCTGCCTCAATGCCTATGCAGTGGATGGATGGCGCAGCATACCTGCATGCCACTCACATCACTTGCCTTCATCTTCTCCTCCTGTCCACTCTACCTGCTTCCATCCCTGCTCCCTCCTCTCTTTGCCTGAATTTACTCCCCAACCTTATTATCTTCTCCCTTCCCATCCTCCTAACCCTCACGCCCCCACACCCCACTGTCCCTCCTCCCCCCACTCGCCCAGACACATCAGCGTCAGCATCACCCACAGCCGCCCATCCCGCTGCTCCGCCCAGTCTCACGCTCTTCCCGCGTCCGCTCACAGTGCATCTGCTGCCCATGTCCCACGTGCTCTCCCTCTCACACTCTGCACGCGCCAGCTCCCTCCGCCAGCTCGCCCTCTCGCTCTTCTCCAAAGTCAGACGCTCCCTCCTCCCGCTGCCACACTGCCCTGCTCACACTGACGGGGGAAATGCAGCAGTAACAGCAGGAGCAGGAGGAGGGGGAGGAGGCGGAGAAGCAGGAGCAGGAGCAGGGGCAGGGGCAAGAGCAGGAGAGGGCGTGGGAGGGATGGGGGGAAACGAAAAGGTGGTGGAGGGGAGAGGGGGGGAAGACGGCAGCAGTCACGGCGGGACGAGTTCTGGGGTGCCAGCAGGCAGCGGGGCTAGCATGGGGGATGTGGGAGGGGGTGTGGTGAGGAGCAGTGGTAGTGGTGGTAGCAGTGGCGGTGGTGATGGGGGCGGGGATAGGGATGTGCTAAGTGAGTTGGCGAGGAGGGGAGGGGGTGCGGGGGCTATTGGAGTGAGGGGAGGGATCATGGATCGCCTCAGCAGACAGCCCATGCAGTCGCCCGCTGCTGCAGCGCCAGCAGGATCGAGCAACCCAGCAGCAGCAGGCGCAGCAGCAGAGGCAGCTCCTGCACACGCAGCAGCAGCAGAAGCAGCAGCAAGAGCAGCAGGAGGAGGTTCTAGTAGTGCTGGTGCTGCACCAGAGGCGGACTGCAAAAATGCACCTGCTTCTCATCCCACGCCCGCACACGCCTCCTTCTCTGCCTCTCCGTCCCTGGCACCCACCACCCCCTCGCTTCTCCACGAGCCGCCCTTCATTCTCGCCGCCCCGGGTTCTGCCTCTTCCTCTCTCTCCCTGCCCTGCCCTTCCCGCACCCGTAGTGCTGACGGGGGGGAGCAGAGAGCAGCGAGCAGCGTGCAAGGGGAGGCAGTGGGGAGTGAGGTAGCTCCCAAGGTGGAGCAGCAGGGGAGGAGCGAGGGCAAGGCGGGATGGCCCAGGGAGAGAGTGAGCGGTCACCCTCCCCTCTCCCCGTCTCTCACTCCTGCTGCTGCTGCTGCTGCTGCTTCTGCTGTGCCCGGGACCACAGCAGTGGGAGGCACGGCGTCGCAGCAAGGTGCAGCAGCAGCGCAAGGTGCATGGGCGGGTGGGGTGGCAGGGGGCCGTGCAGGGGTGACGGGGGCAGCAGCGGCGCCCACCAGTGGAGCAGGAGGGGGGACAGGAGGGGCAGCTCCGGGGCACAAGGGACCCCTGGCGCTGCACTGCGTGTACATGTGGGGGGATGACTCTGCACCTGACACTCCTTCCGCTCCTGGTGCTTCTGGCACTGCCAGCGCTTGTGGCTCGGATCACCCCTTGGGCCTCCCAAGCGCGACAGTGAAGAGAGTGAAGGGGCGTGGAGCGGGCAGCAGGGCAGGGGGGCCTGCAAGGGTGCCGTGGGTGGTGGCGGTGTGGACGGACTCCCGGGGCGAATTGCTTGAGACCCGCGTGGTGCACGGCCGGGCAGGTGCTGGGACAGATGGGGAGACTGGAGAGGCTGCGGAGGGTGGGGAGAGTGAGAAGGGAGGGGAGACTGGGGAGGGGTTGAGGGGTGGTAGCGGAAGAATGGGTGATGGAAGGGGAGAGGGGGAGGGTGGGGATGGAGGGAGGAATGTGCGGGGTGCGGCGGAGGGCGGGGTTGGAGGTGGTGGAGAGGGAGGGAGAGGGGCTGCTGAGGGGGAGGGAGGTGACGAGGAGATGAGGAGGGATGGGTGTTGCGCGGAGGGGGAGAGGAAGGATGGGATGGAAGTGGATGGAGGGGCGGGCATGGGGGAAAGTGGTGGTGGTGGGGTGGCAGGGGTAGCGGAAGGGAGAAATGATGGGGCTGAGGGCACACCTGGAGGGACAGGGACAGCTGCAGCAGCAGAAACGGCAAGAGCATCAGCTGCAGCACCAGCAGCGGCAGCCACAAGAGGAGCAGACTCAGAACCAGCAGCAGCAGGGGCAGCAGCAGGGGAAGCAGGGGCAGCAGAAGGGGAAGCAGGGGCAGCAGAAGGGGCAGCAGCAGGGGCAGCAGGAGGGGCAGCAGCAGCATCTGTGTATAAGCTTGCTGTCCAGCCGTCTCCTGCTCTCCCCGTCAATACTCCCAGGAGCAGTGGCAGTGCGCGCGGGGCAGGCACGAGGGCGTGGGTGGGGCGAATGCAGAGCGTGTTGGAGCAGGTGCTGCAGGTGGGCGTGGAAGTGGTGGCGCTGCTGCAGCACAAGGCACGCCTGCAGGCAGGCAGGGATGCGGAGAAAGGGCAAGGGGACGCGGGGAAGGGGAGGGAGGGCGGTGGGGAGGGAGGGGAGGAGGATTGGTGGATGGCCCAGCGGCCGGTGTATGTGGTGAAGGCGGGGCAGGGAATGACACGTGCGGAGCTGCAAGGTACGGATTCACTCCATGCCATGTGCTGTCACGTGCCCCTTAAAGTCACATGCCATGTCTCTCTGCGTTGATTTGTCTCAATGCATACCGTAGTAATAGAGGATGGTGTTTCATTCCCCTGTGCCCACCCAATTTAATTCCATGCCTTATGCATTTGTGCCTGTACGTGTGTGCATGTGCCTTCGCGCCCGCGCATGCATGTGCATGTATCAGCATGGCAGCAAGCCATTTCGTCGCTCTCCTCCTCCTCCTTCCGCCCAGTTTTCTCCGCCTCTACCCGCAGCACCACCCACCCACCACCACGCCACCCAACGTCCACCAGTCGCACAACCCATGCAGCAGCCGGCAAGGCAACACAGGCACAGGCAGGCAGAAACACCGCACAAGGACGACAAACAGCAAAGGCTGGAAAGGAAGAGGGGAAGGAGGGGAGGAAGGAGGGGAGCAAGGAGGGTTCTCTGGTTGTACAGCCAGCCCCAGTCCAGCCCGTGCCTGTGAGCCCACCCTCACAGCCCACCCCTGCATCCCTCGCCGCCCACGCTCCTGGGCAAGTGGGAGAGCAGGTGCAGGGCCGGGTGTCTCAAGAAGCTGCGAGCAGCACTCCTCCTGTCGCCCCCGCTCCCGGTGCCTCTAACCCCCTCTCCCACGCCACTGCCCTTGCAGCCGACCCCCCCCCTCACCTGTCCAGCCAGGGAGCAGACGAGCAGGAGAAGGGACCGGAGAGCCATGGGGTGGCTGTGGGGGGTGAGGGGGCGGGTGTAGCAGAAGGGACGCGGGAAGGGAGTGTGCAGGTGGAGGGACACCCTGGGGTTGGGACGGTGGGAGAGAGAGTGCCGGGTGTGTGGCAGGGCATTGCAAGCGTGACCGTTGCATGGCTGCATGTGGTGCCACAGCTGCAACTCATGTCAATACCACCGCCGCCCCCACCCTCCCCCACTCCCTCTCCTGCCCCTGCACCTGCTCCCTCTGTCCTTACCCCTTCCCTCCCTTCGCCGGCTCTCGGCCCCGCTGCCTCCCCTATTCTCTCCCCCATGCAACCACGCCCCACTCCATTCCCGTCCCCACTATCCACGCGCCACACTGCCACCACCCCCACCACACTCCCCCTTCCAGAGCCCTTCTCCCCTCCCCTTGCACCCCTGCCCCCATCCTCCCGAACCACTTCCTCCCCCATCCCTCTCCATCCCCCTCCTCTCCCCCACTCGCCCTTCCCCCACGCGCCCTTCCCCCCCCGCATCCCCCATGAAAGCACACACCCTCTGCACCCGCCACTGCCCTCACCGCCCCTGCATGGGGCAATCGCAATCCCCCCCCGGGGTCCCTTGCAGCTTCCCCAGCAGCACGGGGCAGGGTCTACTCTGCTGCTCGTGCCCCATGCTCCATGGATTGACCTCTCCACCCCTGCACACTCCCCCTGCAACCCGCCGTACTTCCCTCCCACTCCTCTGCACCGCTTGCGACCCCCCAAGCGTGTGCGCCCTGCTCTGGGTCGGCTCCAGAAACCCAAGCAGAAGAAGCAGCGTGTGCCGTTGCTGCTAACCCCCCCACCTCCTCCCCCTTCCCCCTGCGCCCCGCTCCCCCTCCCCCTGCGCCCGCTTGTGGCGGCTCAAGTAACACGAGCGCTGCTGCTGCGACTGAGGCGGCAGCAGGAAGTGGGGATGAGGAAGGGGAAGCGGGATAAGTTGATAGAAGGGGTTAAGGGAAGGACGAAAGGTGGAGTGGCAGCAGTGGGTGTGAGAGGGAGGAAAGCCAGCAGGGGTGAAGGAAGCAATGATGAAAGGATTAAGAGCAAAACAGGCAAGGGGAAAGCAGGTGAAGAGATTAAGACCAAATTAGGCAAGAGGAAAAGGGTTGTTGGGAGCAAGGGTGAAAGGAGTAAGAGAAAAAAAAGCAAGGGGAAATCAGGTGAAGGGATTAAGGCCAAATTAAGCAAGAGGAAACGGGTTATAGGGAGCAAGGTTGAAGGGAGCAACGATAAAGGGAACAAGGGTAAAGCGATTAAGGACAAAGAGGGCAAGGGAAAAGGGGGTGAAGGGAGTAAGGGCAACGCGAGTAAGGGTAAACGGAGCACGATCAAAGGTGATGGAGTCAAGGCGAGAGGAGAGAAGGAGGTGAAGAAGGAGAAGGGGAAGGAGGAGAAGGGGAAGGGGAAGACGAAGGAGGGTAAGAAGGAAGAGGGGAAACAGACGCAGGGGAAGGAGAAGAAGGGGAAGGAGAAGAAGGGGACGAAGGAGGGTAAGGAGAAGAAAGGGAAGGAAAACAAGGGGACGAAGGAGGGGACGTTGAAGAAAGTGAGTGTGGATGGAGTGAAAGTGAAGGGAGTTAAGGGAGTAAAAAGGCAGGGGAAGGATAAGGAGCTGGGTACAGGGAAGGTGAAGGGTGGGACGATGATGAAGAAGAAGGGTGTAACAATCGGGAAGAAATCAGGCGGTTCTAGTAAGACAAAGACAGGTGCTGCTAGTGCAAAGAAAACAGGTAAGGAGACAGGTAAAAAGACAGGTATTGATAGTGGGACGAAGACAGGTATTGCCAGAGGAGAGGAAATAGGTAAGAAGATGGGTATTGATAGTGGGAAGAAGAAAAAAATAGGTAAGGAGACAGGTATTGATATTGGGAAGAAGAATAAAATACGAAAGAAGACAGGTATTGATATTGGCAAGAAGAAGAAAATAGGAAAGACAGGTCTTGGTACTGGGAAGAAGAAGAAAATAGGAAAGACAGGTCTTGGTACTGGGAAGAAGAAGAAAATAAGTACGAAGACAGGTGTTGATAGTGGGAAGAAGAAGACAAGCCGTGCTGGTACGAAGGTGGGCCGCAAAAGCAGCAAGGAGGGAAAACTGGTGAAGTCATTGCGGCCAAAGATAACACTGGGCAAGGCCCGGAAGGCAGCGAGGCGGGGTGTCACAGCATCAGAAGTGCACAAGGCGGCAGGCAGGCAGGCAGGCAGGGCGAGAGGCCATGGCAAGAAGGGGCGGAAAGAGGCACGGAAGGAGTGGAGGCGAGTGTGGCGGGAGAAGATGCGCGAGGTGGGGCGTATGGTGCGAGAGCTGACTGGTGGGGAGGACGATGGGCACGAGGGCGTGCGTGGTGTGGCCACAGCAGTGATTCTCAGCACGGCGACACACCGAGGGTGTGCGGGAGGGGAGGGGGGGACGGCAGCAGGGGCAAGCGGTGCAGCAGCGGCATGGCTGGGGCTGGAGGGGCTATCGGTGGGAGCAGCACAGGAGGCGTTTCGGCTTGGGTTGCCCTGGCAGGGTGCGTACCTGCCTGCTGTGACTAACAGTGGATTCCTCTCCCGCTCTTCTTTCTCTGGTGGCAGTGGCGGTGGCAGTGGCGGTGGGGGCTTGGGTGCGCGGCTGGGGTCACATGGAGCTGCACATGCAGGTAGCGCAGCTGCTAGCAGTGCTGCTGCTGCTGCTGCTGCTTCCTATCCCCTTCTCGCCCCTGCAGCATCAGCAGCCACAGTGGGAGGTGGCGGTGTAATGGCAGGAGGGATTGGGTGTGGTGCTGGGGGAGGGGTGGTGGCTGTGATTGTTGCGGCCCACTTTACTGCAGGGCCTGCTGTTGCTGACGCACGGCAGAAGGTCGGGGAAGCGGAAGGCAAGCAGGAGGGGAGGAACGCCTCGATTCAGGACAGGAGAGGCAATCGTGTGGTGGGGAGAGGTGCTGATGAGCGACAGAGGGCGGGTGGTGGAGTGACAGACAGTATGAGGAAAGAGGGTGACGGGCGGGAAGGTGTGGGAGTGGGAGTGAAGCGAGGGAGGGAAGAGGAGGGCAGTGGGGCAGGAGGGGTGGAGCAGGGGGGAGAGGAGGGGATTGCTGGGGGTATCAGAAAGCGGCAGCGGGTGGAGGCAACAGGTGTAGGGGCAGGGGCCAGTGGTGGGGGAGGTGGGGCGAAGGAGATCAAGGTTGGGGTGAAGGAGGGCAAGGGTGGGGAGGGCAAGGGTGGGGAGGGTAGTGTAGATGCCAGGAGGGGGGAGGGTGTGGAGTGCAAGGCTGTGGAGATGGGTTCGAAGGTGCCAGGCAGTGGTGATGGCAGGGCGAGTGCAGAGCACAGAGAAGCAGCTCCAGGGACGTCTCAAAAGGCGAGTGGTGCACCGAGAGAGGCCCAGACCGGGTATGGCGGGGAGACAAGAGGGCCGGCACAGGACAGGAATGGCAGGGGCGTGGGCAGCGAGGGAGGACGGGAGGGAGAGGAACAGGGGAAACAGAAGAGCGTCACAGGCAGCAAAGGGGGTGAGAAAAGGGAAGGCGAAGTGGGCGAGAGTGAGTGGTGGGAGGCAGCAGCAGATGCGGAGGCAAGGCGCGTGGCGCAGCAGCTGGGAGCAGAGCTGCATGCGCTCTCCTGGCTGTCCGTGTCCCCTGCCAGCCCCTCCCCGCTCTCCCACCTCCCCTTCCACTTCCTTGTGGCCGCGCGCCTGCTGCTGCTGCTGCAGCACGTGCCGTGCGCTGCACCTGCGTATGTACCAAGCGGGGCGATGTGTGGTGCTGGTGAGGCGGAGGCAGGTGTGGGTGTGGGAGCGGGGGGAGAGGGTGGTGGTGCAGCGCGTGGAGGGGAGCAGGTTGAGCAGGCAGCAAACGTGCGAGCGCACAGTCAAGGCGCATGCTTCTGAGAAAGCAAGGCATTTGTAGAAGTGTATCGTGATACTAGTACATATTGCTCCTCCTGCCGCATCGCTATGCTGCAGTCTACAGCCTTCTAACATGCACTGGCACACTAGGCAACTGTAATCCATTTATATCAAGCATGAGACCAAGTTGTGCAACAGCTTTTGTCTGCCAGATCTCAAAATATCTTCTCATTGATGCTGGTATATTGGAATTATATTGGCTCTATTCCTTCCTCTGGTGGCAAGCATAAACTTGCGCTCGCCCAGCAGAGCTCTGCACTTTCTGCAGGATCAAACCATGCTCCATCCTCCAGACTTGCACATGCTAGATTACAAGTGGCCCTTGCTACTCACCCCCAACAGAATACCTTCTACTCTTGCTACTCTACCTATGTCCAACTTGTTCATCCCCAACTTTGTCAAGCGCCACCCCGTTCTGGTAGTAGTATCTCCCCATCCTGCCCTAGGCAGCTCATCCTGGCCTGGCACGGTCAAGAGACAATCCATTGCCGGAGCATTTGTGCGAGGTTAACGCGGCTGGACATCATGGGTTTATTGACAGCCCACGCATCATCCCCCATGGTGCAGTGCGCCACAGCACTGAAGAGAAACGCTTTCATCTTGCTTCCCGCCGCGTTCCGCTCCTTCACCACGTCACGCACCGTCTGCTCCATACCCCGGCTATATCGTGCCAGCACGTCCGCAGTGCTCTTAGGGCACGCCGCCACGTTGCCGCGCCGCATGCACGCGCGGATGGGAGCGCCCTCGGGAATGGCTTCTGGGGCGAGGGTTTTAGCGATGCCCGAGTAGTCGAGGATGCTCTGCACGAGGAAGAGCGGCGTGCGCACGAAGTGCAGCCCGTACTGCGGGAAGAAGCACTTCCATGTCTCGTTGCGTGCCGCGTAGTCTGGTGCCGGTGTAGGGAGGAGAGGGGGGAGAGGAGAGGGAGTGGTGGGATAGGAGGAGGGGGTTGTGAGGGGTGGGGCGAAAGAATGAGGGCGTAGGTGGTGGGGACCATGCGTTCTAGAGGAAATGGGAAGTGGGAAATTGGAAGGGCAGCAATGATGGAGGGCAAGAATGGAGGGGTGGGGGACATACAGGGGCATATGCATGAGCACGAGCATGAGCATGTGACGGACCGGACACATGGCGCATGTGTGTTAAGTTGAGTGCATGGCAGCCTCCATGCAGTACAGGGGGGTGCAGAGGGTTGCGAGTTGGTGGATGAGAGGTGGTGGGTGGTGGGGGGCAGGAAAAGAAGAAACAGCATGGGCGGGCACGGGCACGAGCATGGGTGTGGGCGGGGGACTGACACTTGGCGCAGGCGGGGTGCACTCCAGCGTCCATGTGGTGCAGGGAGAAGAGCGTCTGTATGGTGCCGCGGAAGTAGTACTCGCCGTTCACCGCTGGGCCATCTGAAGGGCGCGGGGCACACACAACACGGCACGGGACAGGCCGTTTGAATATGCCAGAAATCGCGGGTGCAAGAAAGCAGTGAGTACGAGGAGTGCATACAGGCAGAGGGCATTGTAGGGGTTGAGGGCGAGGGGCAATGGCACAGCAGCGGTGCAGGCAGCGGTTGCGCATAGGCGGTACAGTACGGTACCCTGCACTGCAGCAGCAGCAGCCTCACGGCTCACCCAGGAAGGCGAACCTTGCATGCTCAGAACGTCTTGCAGGATGCCTCGGGTCGGGACAGAGGGAGGCACGAGGAGCCTGGGAAATAGTGGGCCAAACGCTAAACGGACCAAACCAGTGCGGCGGAACGGAGTGCAGGGGCGGCTCACCGAGGAAGAAGCCCGCGTCCATGATGCACTTGAAGGACGGCTGCAGCGGCGCGGGCAGCATGGCGGCCACGGAGTCGCACTTCATGGCCACGGCCACCGCGCCCGCACTGCACCCCGACAGCACCACCTGCTGCGCGCCCGCCATGCCGCGCTGCTGCAGCAGGTCTGCGCGCAGGGTCATGTGCGGGGAGGCCGCGGGGGAGCGGGGTGGGGGTGTATGCGATGGTGATGGGCGATGGGCGGTGAGGGGTGGAGAGTGGAGAGCATTGAGTGGTGAGTGCGACGATGCAATGGCGACTAGAGTCATGTGGGGGCACCTCATGGGCGTTGCTGCTTCCCATGCGCTCTACCAGCAGAGCGTGTGAGTATGGCATGGCATGGGATGACATGGCGTGGCATGGAATGGCATGTATGTGTGCACACATGCACCAGCAGCGGGCAGCAGCGCACCTTGAATGATGGCTTTCAGGATGCCCGCGCCCATGGCGTACATGGCCGCGCCGCCGCGCTTGACGGCGCCAGCGCTGCCGGCGAAGCTGGCGCCGTCGCAGTACTTCACGAGCACGACGTTCCAGTTGTAGAACAGCGGGTTAACCGTCGCGTTCGCGCTGCCGATGCCGCCCATCAGCGCCGACGCCGACCCCTGCTCGCACCGCGCGGCCAGGGGGAGTATAGGGGGCGAGGGAGCAGGGGGTTAGGTAGCAGGAGTGGACATTTGAGGTGCTTCAAAGAGAAGCAAAGAGGGGGGGGGGGGGGAGGGGGGGATTAGCTGAGAATGAGGATGTCGGCCGGTGGAGAGGGGGTGGAGCAGCGGAGGAGAGGGAAAGAGCGTGCAAGGGGAGAGGAGGGAAATGGATGGGTGGCATACGGCTGGATGCTATCGGGCATGGGCTGAGTCATGGGTTAGTTGGTTCCACGACCAAGGAGCGTGCGTTGACTCACCCCGGGCGACGCGGCTTTGCCAGGCTGGCCGGGTACGGGGTTGGGCCACGTGGCGCTGCTGCCCAGCCCCGTGGCTTTCCGCCGCACGCACCGCTGCATGTTGAAGCACCACCCCCCGCCCTGCGTGCACGCACAACGGTTCGCACACGCGCAGCAAGGTAAGGAACAAAACGGGCAGGAGCAACATCAACGGTGTGTGGTACGGCGATATTAGCGGCACGGGGCGGGGAAACAATCGGATGGGAGGGAGTGGCGGAGGGGACGGCAAGGGGAACGGGACCGCGGCCATGGCGGGAGACGGGGGGTGGAACGGGCATGGATATGCGCGGCAGCGCAATGGTCCAGGTGGTGGCGCCGAGCGCTCCCAGCAGATGGAGACGTGTGAGCGCACACGATGCACGCCGGCAGTGGCGCGCAATACACAGCACACAAGCCGCCACGTTCCCCCCCTCCCCTCACCTCACGATACCTAAACCACGCGGATGCCCACTACTTTGCACCGTGGTCCGCCTTTCCCCACACTTCGATCGCTCCACGGCGCGGCGCAATGGCCACCCCCTGTGAATGGAAGTTGTCTCTGGTAGCGCTGGAGGAACGGTGATCCATTCAAGAAAACCAGGGGGGGCTTCTCCCCCTCCTGCCGAGGCCGCCCTCGCCCCGCCCTCGCCCCGCCCCGCGCCCCGCCCCGCGCCCCGCCCTGTGCCCCGCCCTCATCCCGCCCTGCGCACACGCACCTCCAGAGTGATGAGCCACCGCTTGCTGCCAGTGCCGGTTCCTCGCTGATGGTAGTACCCGGCGGGGCTGGAGGCGGGGGCGGGGGGGTAATGGGCGGGGAATACGGCGAAATATGGGCAAGAGCGATCAGGAGAGCGGCACGCGCGTAGCATTCGGCGCAAAAGTGGCTGCGCGCAACGGCCGACTCGTAACGACTTTTTGAGACATTTCAAAGAGGGTGGTCGCGGCGGCGGCGCGCGGCAGCTGTTTACCTGCCGTCGAGGCATCGCGGGGCAGTGCTGTCCGCAGTGCTCAACAACACCTTGACCGTATCCATGCTGCTCGCCTGCGTGCCGCCCACCCCTCGAGCCACCTTCCCCGTATCGCTCGACCCGCTCGACCCACTTCCCTTACTGTTCCCGCTACCCTTGCTACTTCCGCTACTTCCGCTGTTCCCGCTACCCTTGCTACTTCCGCTACTTCCGCTTCTTCCGCTTTTTGTGCTGCTTCCGCTACTTCCGCTTTTTGTGCTGCTTCCGCTACTTCCGCTTTTTGCGCTGCTTCCGCTACTTCCGCTTTTTGCGCTGCTTCCGCTACTTCCGCTTTTTGCGCTGCTTCCGCTACTTCCGCTTTTTGCGCTGCTTCCGCTACTTCCGCTTTTTGCGCTGCTTCCGCTACTCCCGCTGTTTCCGCTGCTGTTCGTCGCGGGCGACACGTGGTGGCCTTTACCGGGCGGATGGTGTCCGCCTTTTTCTCCGTGGTGCCCGCCAGCGCTCGGCGGAGACCCTTTCGCTATGCGCGTATGCACTGTGGGGCTTGGGGAAGATGGCGGAGCCGGCGCAGTTGGCGGAGATGGGGTAGATGTAGGTGGGTTACTGGGAAGAGGCGGGGAACTGGATCCGTCAAGCGCGGGTGCCCGAAGCAGCTGCGCGGAAAGTTCAACGTCGCCAGGGCGCGTGTCGGACGGGGAACTAACTGAATTCTGTGGTGTTGCGCTGAGCTCCACATTCAACAGCGCGGTTTCGCTCTGATCCGCCAGTTCGCGAGTGGGGACGGTTCGGCGGGCACTGGCGGAACGGCGCGTCACTCCCCATGCACGCACGACGTCCGCCGGGCCCGCACCTACCGCTGGCGCAGCTAGGCGTCGCGGGGAGGTGCGCCGCGCCGGAATGAGAGGGGCATTGACGGGCGGAAGAAATCGAAGGGATAAGGACTGGTGCGAGGGGTCGGCGATGTGGGTGGCGCATGCTAGGGAGATAGGAAAGGCCGATTCAAATGTGATGGCGGTGAGGAGAAATAGGAAAGAGGCGGAAATCAACGCATGCTGTGTTGCGCGAGGAGGGGATGAAGCACGCGGCTGTATTTGCGCAGCACACGTTCTTGTGCCCGCAGCTTCTCTCCCCGACACAGCCGTTCGGAACGGCCGAGACGTCCGGCCAGCAGGAGGGGGCGGCATTCCTAAAGTATCCCTAACGGGATATTCTTGCGATCGAGCTTGGAGGCATCTGAATGTCAACGAGTCTTCCTGGTAATGGCTGTGGTCTAACAACTAGGGCGGAGGGCAGTGCCAAGCACACCCGAAGCTCCGATGACCAGTGGTGCTGCTAAGTCGAGGTTTTTATTGAATCCCCGCGTCACCGATCGATAACCGTTCTTGAATAGAAACAGAGGTGTTGACCAATGCATCCGTAGTTAATCGTAGCAGTGGTACGGCTGCGAAACGGCGGGGTTGATAGACTCCGAAAAGTGTTCCTTAGGGAACACGTACGGCGTGGTTGGGAGAAGATTCAACTACCGCGAGCGGCAATGTGCCAATCATTCAACCACACATGAGGGGATCCAAAATTATGCATTGGAATCCAACCCTGACGCGCACAGCGATTCCTATCGCGGCACGGTTTATCTTATGTGCGTGGAAAGCTGCTCTGCCGGGAAATCGTCGCCCACTACTGAATTATCGCAGGTTTCGTCAAGAGTGCGCTCCGCAGGGGCCAGGCAGGTCGCCTGACTGGAAAAGTGAACCCTTACGACGACAGAGCTGTGGGCGACGACAAGCTGACAAGACATCCCCAACGCTGGCCAAGTCGCATTCGCTCTCAACACAATTCAACTCGTATATTGCCGCCACTTTGGTCGGCAAGTTCGAATTATCTCATGCAATATACAGAGCCAAAGTGTGAACGTGGACATCACAAGAAATTCACTAACCCTGGTAGGTCCTTGTTTAATGTAAAGAAGCTTGAAAAATGCACCAATATCATGCTAAGACAGATAAGATATCACTTTTGATATTAATTTAAAATCTGATATTCATCTATTTATCATTAACATCAGATTCATTAAAAATATAGATAATATAGGTATGGATACATTAACAATAACTCTTAAAATCAAGAAAATTACCTTTTCATGAGAATTAATTTAATTTCCATTCACTTCAAAGGCTAAAGAAGGTGTTGTACATGTGGTGCAATTTTACTCACAGATTTCGTGTGTGTATGGACTCCATTGGAAGTACATGGCAGCTTTGTATGGACTCAATCGTGTTATCGCGGATGGTCTTTGCATCCCGAATTTGTTTTGCGCGGTCGGACTTTGCCGCCTAAAATTCTCCTCCCGTTGTGGCGTCTGCGCTGCGCTGCGAGTCGCGATGCGATGCTGTCACGTCACCTCCTCACATCAATTTGGCATGTGCGGATGGAACAGCCGCCAGCCCAACAGGACCCCGCCGTGGATCTCCACGGCTGATGGACCTCCTGACGACAAGCCATCACCCGTTGCGTGAGACAGCAACTCAAAAAGCCAGAGCCAGGGCAGTGGTGAGCATCATCAGCCACTGGCCCGAGATGGCGACTGCGCGAACATTTGGACTTACCCATCCGGAAGACACCCACTCGTAGGTAGGCGTACATTCCACTAAAGCGTATCCAGTGTTAGTGTTCGCGTGCAAACTCTGATGCTTCTGTCGTTGAATTTACTAGTTTAGATTCGCAGCGCCAGCAATGGCGGCCAAAATGCGTCATCTCCTCGTCACCATTCCCTTGCTGCTCCTCCTCGTATCGGTTGCCCTTGCCGCCAACAATTCGTCCACCACAAAGCCTGTTGCCAGACGCGGCAGCAATCGTACGGCAGTTGCGCGCCGCTCCCCACCGGTGCCGTCCGCGGGAAGCACGGCGGGGCGATCGAAGCAACGGGGAAGCACGGCGCGCACGCCCGCTCCTCCCACGAGGAAGCGCACGAGCCCGTCGACAGGCAGTCCGACGCGGAGCCCCGTCTCGGCCAAGGGAGGGCGCAAGGTGCGCGTTCCGCGGGCCGGTACGACAGCACCGAGCAGCAGCCTGAGCTTGATCAAGCTGCCCAATAACCGCTACAACGCCAAGTGCCTAGATGGCAGGTGAGTCAGGCGCTGCGGCAGCACTTGAGCTTCCACCATGTGGCTTGCTTCCTGGTAGAAGCCTCAGCCCAGTTTCTCCACGCGGTGCCTTCTTACAGCTCTCACAATCTCGTTACGCGGCTATAGCTACCTCTCGCACATCCGAAGCGCCAGTCAAGCAATTCCTTTAGTATCACCACTAGTCCCCGTCTTCGCTTCTACCGTCCTCGCTTCACCTTCCAATTTCCCTCCCTAAATCCTTCCCCTCGCGCCTCTCCCTGCTTTCCCCCCCCAATCAGTCCGCCCACATATTACCTGCGCTCGGGGCACGGCTCGGGCGCCAGCTCGTGGGTGATCTACCTGCAGGGCGGCGGCTGGTGCACGTCCGTCACCGCCTGCGCGGCGCGCGCAAAGACGGTGCTCGGCAGCTCCAACTTTTACCCGCAGCCGTCCGATCCCAACTTCGACAAGACCGTAAGTTCCCGTCGGATGGACTCCATGCGCCCCGCTACGGTTCTTATTTCATTCTCCTCACCAGTTCCGCATCCTCCTCCTCATCCTCTGTATTCCTCCCCCTGCCCACCTTCTCCCCACCTTCCCCCTCCGAAACCCCCTCGCCCCCCTGCCCGCGCACGCCCCGCAATCCCAACCCCACCCCTTACTTCTCGCTCCCCGGTGCGTGCGCAGATGCGCGACTACGGCAACGCGTTCACGGGCATTCTGAGCAACAGCTCCGCGGAGAACCCCGACTTCTACAACTGGAACCTCGCCATGGTCGTCTACTGCGACGGCGGCGGCTTCGCCGGCACGCGCCGTCAGTACAACCTGCCGGCTGGCGGGTCCATCTACCTGGACGGCGCGCGGGTGTTCAAGTCCGTGCTGGAAGGTGCGACGCCGCGCAGGCTGGACGGCGCGCGGCTGTTCAAGTCCGTGCTGGAAGGGCGGAGCGATGGGCGCGTTGCTCACTCAGAGACGGAGCGACGGATTTGACCTAGAAAGCATGAGATTCTTCGTAGTTTTCTGGTAGCCCTCTGCTTTCCGTTGTTCCTTTCCACATTGCTTAACTCCCCCTCCTGCATCCCACCTCCCGCGCACTCCCCGTTCCCCTCTCCCTCCCCGTGTCTCCGCGCAGACCTGTACGAGCGCGGGTTGCTGCAGGCGCGCAAGGTGCTGTTCACGGGGTGCTCGGCGGGCGCGCAGGCGGTGTCGTCGATGTGCGACCGCGTGGCGACGTACTTGCCGCCGGGGTCGGTCAAGTGCATGATGGACGCCGGCTTCTTCCTCGGTGAGCCGCCACTTCACTCCATTCGGGATACAAACGCATCATGCAGATCGTGTGTGAGTCAGCTCGATTGTTACCCCTTCCTTGCGGTTCCCCTCCATCCACTCACTCTTCCCTGTTTCGACGCACCCTCTCCCCGACTCCCCCGTTCCCTCGTTCCTCCTCTCATCTCAACTCCCCCCGCCCCTTAACATCCCCGCCACACCCGTGTGCATGCGCGCAGACGGATGGGACGTGACGGGGCGCATGTACTTCCGCGACCTGTCCATGCGCTTCACGGAGCTGCACCGCCCCGCCGTCGAGCAGGGCTGCGGCGATGGTGAGACAAGGGACGAGCTAGGGTGCACGGAGGTCTGGGTAGGCTTGCTAGGAAGAGAGTATAAGATTACTATGGGCGCGAGGGGTAGGAGGATTTTGGTGGGCAAGCAGACGTTGTTTTTGTTCTTCCCACCCTCCCGCCAGCTACCTTGTGATGGCACCCCCCACCTCTCACCATCTCCCCTATACATCCTTCCCGCCACTCTTGCTCCATGGTGACCTCCTCCCCCGTGCCATGTGCAGCGTACACGGGGTCGACGGAGTACTGGCGGTGCTTCTTCCCGCAGTACAACGTGGAGTTCATCGACACGCCGCTCTACATCGTCAACTCCATCAACGACTACGCCGCCATCGAGATCCTCAACTACGCGCAGAACACCTCCAATAATGTCCTCAAGTGCCTCGCTGAGCTCGCTCCCAACGACGGCAGCGGTGGCTACGTGCCGCGCGCCACTCGCAACCTGCTGGCCAGCGCAGCGGCGGGAGCAAGGGGGGGTCGCACTAGCAGGAGCAGTGTCGGCAGTAGGCCGGCGGCAAGCAACTCGTCGTGCACGGTACAGGCCCAGGCGGCGCTGAAGAGTTACTCCACACGCATGCTCAAGCGCATTCAGAGCCTCGTGAGGCGACGACCGCAACTGGGCAGCTACTTGCTAGGGGCAAGTGCCCACTGCACCACCATCTACCCCACGTGGAGCAGCATTAGCCGCAAGGGGGTGTTCCTTAGACAGGCCATCTCTGACTGGTACTTCAAAGGCGTATACGGAGTCACTGGTGCTTCGACCACTAAAGGCTAGGATATACTGGCTGCTGATCATAGAACATACTTCAGATACGAGCACTCTGTTGCTTTCAGGTAGATAGCTTCTACACACAGCTGCCTTAGGAATCTTGATGTTGAAGGTAACCTGACATGCTACACCATTGGGCGCTAGACCCTAATATGAATGTAATGGAATTTGCATTAATCCATATGTCAAAAATGCATTGTAAAGACAATCACAATCAGGGCCCACGTTATCAGTGTAAATCACCCTGATGCCCTGACTAGAAGGGTGATTTTTGGTAGTAACACTGATGCTGTTGGGTAATTTTTTCGGGACCTTGATTTACCCTGATGTGCCAGGTTTTAAGATTAAGGAACACCGTCGCCTCAGGGTTGCCGTTCCGCTAATCTAGGTTTACCCTGAAGCGCGTATCAGCGAATCCCCACACCCCCCACCCCCCCCTCGTCCCCTAACCACCCGACCCCGAAACCTGGATTTTCCCTTTGCCATGCCAGCTGTCGAAAATGTAGATTTCGGCAGGACTTTACGTGTGCTAGAACGAGGTGGGCCACCATTTGCCAGGAACAGGGTTTTGCGAATTGGTACACTGATGCCTCAGGGTAGTCTTTTTAATACATGCAATAGCCCTGACGCATCAGGTTTTCCACAACGGGTAACCCTGAAAATCAGGTTTTTGAACAGGTGCTAGACTGATCGTAAGGGTTGGTCAAAACCAAAAATGAGCCCTGATCACAATGGAATGGAATCACTAGATGAAATAAAATTGCATCAATTTGTGAATATTTGAGTACCCTCACACTGTACTGCTCCCAGGACAGGTTGAATTCCGGTTGTCAAACCATACCTGAAAATGATACATGGCAATTCTACACAAGCTGACTTACAAATAATGCAAAACCCGTAAATAATTGGCGAAAACCTTTTATAAATGGCGGCCAGTAATATAATTCGTTCTCATAGGAGGGATCAAGTTTGCAGATTAGTACCTTCTCGGTATGGTACATTGAAGAATTCAGTAGCTATATTTACAGTAAGAATCTATCACCCTGGACTTTTTTTTCAATGTAGTCCAAGGCGGTGTAGCAAGCTAGCCCTCCGCCCAAGAACATCGAGAATGAACACACGCTACTGGTCCCTTCAGGAATATCAACTTCTGTCAATCTCCGTGATGTTTAAACCGTTGGATCTGCTTATTTGGCCGATCCCTCCACGTCAGCCCCCCCCTTCAGCGCCCTTGTTGAGGGAATTCCGCTTACTCCTCGCGCCAGCGCTGCTGCTGACGTGTGGGATACGCGGCGGAATCTTTGGCACATGGGCTGCTGGGGGAGCGGGGAATGAGCGAGGGGGTTTGGGCAGGGAGGGGTTGAAGCTGCCTAACGTCCTCTTCAACATTCCTCTTTTCTCATTTCTCTCTCGGATCTCTTAGCTCCGCTGGGAGTAGAAGCTCACGTTTCGTTTCCTGTCAGATCTTCCCTCTTTGCCCCTGTGGCTGGTACCTTTCTAATCAGCCAAGATGGTACGTCTCGTCTGTCGCATTCCCTCAGCGTTCGATGTGTGCTGTCACGATGATACCGTAATTTTTCTTCTGGATCCCGTGCCTGCTTATGCATCTCATGTATTTACTTCTCAAATCTACGTGCCTATGTGTCTTGCAACTGCAGGTGAAGTTTACGTTCGAGGATTTGCGCGCGATCATGGACAAGAAGAACAACATCCGTAACATGTCCGTGATTGCGCACGTGGACCACGGTAAGCTCATCTCGTCGCCTTCGAGGTTTCTGCTGTAGATCGAGCAAACGAAGCTAGGGTTTGGGGTTGGCTTATTCACAGGCTGAAACGCTCGTGATAATTCACGTATTCGCTTTCACCCCTTTCTCCACCTCTTCACTTTCCGATTCACGGTTTGAAGGACGATATATCCGTCACCACGTACTTCCCCCCCTACCCCCTTTCTCCCGCGGCACTTTTCTTTTCTTTATCCCGTTCATTAGAGTCTTGTATCTTGCCCTCTTCTAGCGTCATACGATTATCGTATTATGTCGGTGTCAATAGAGCACGGAATGACCCACATCCTAAGAGGTCCTTCGTAACATGTTTCGCTTTGTCCAAGTCACCACGTTAGCAAATATTGGAAGATCTAACGAGATGTTTCTATGCGTATTCCGTGTTGATCTACAGGCAAGTCGACTCTCACCGACTCGCTCGTGGCTGCTGCTGGTATCATCGCGCAAGAGACTGCCGGTGACGTCCGTCTAACAGACACCCGCGCCGATGAGGCGGAGCGCGGTATCACCATCAAGTCCACTGGCATTTCGCTTTACTACCAGATGACCGACGAGGAGCTCGATGGTCTGGAAGGTCCCAGGGACGGCAACGAGTACCTGATCAACCTGATTGATTCGCCCGGTCACGTTGACTTCTCGTCTGAGGTCACTGCTGCCCTTCGTATCACCGATGGTGCGCTCGTCGTCGTGGATTGCATCGAGGGTGTGTGCGTGCAAACCGAGACCGTTCTGCGCCAGGTAAGTCTCTAGTCTTTTACTTGTGTCCAGTTTCAAGTCGTTTGCTGCCTCAGCGTTTAGTCTAACAAGGCGTGTGCTTGCTGCAGGCCCTTGGTGAGCGTATCCGGCCAGTCCTTACCGTGAACAAGATGGATCGCTGCTTCCTGGAGCTGCAGCTCGACGGCGAGGAGGCTTACCAGGTTTGCATCTTCCCTTGAGCTTCACTTGCGCGATTTAACTGAGATTTCGACTCGCACTGAGGAATTTGTTTTTTTTTTTTTGTGTTTTACTTTCTTATCAGTTTTAGTTTCTCGATTTGTTGTTTCGTTGCGCAGACGTTCCGTCGTGTGATTGAGAACAGCAACGTCATCATGGCCACCTACGAGGACAAGCTGCTGGGCGACGTCATGGTGGCGCCCGAGAAGGGTACCGTGGCGTTCTCCGCCGGTCTGCACGGGTGGGCGTTCACGCTGACCAACTTCGCGAAGATGTACGCTGACAAGTTCAAGGTGGACCGCAAGAAGATGATGGAGCGCCTGTGGGGTGAGAACTTCTTCGATACCGCCACCAAGAAGTGGACCACCAAGAACACCGGCTCGCCCACTTGCCAGCGCGGTTTCGTCCAGTTCTGCTACAACCCTATTAAGCAGGTTCGTCGAAAGTAACGCGGGTTGTTGATCTTGTGCGGGTGGTTCTGCTTGCTCGTCTGCTTGCTCAGATTCGAGTGTCTAATACTTTTTTCGATACCGTGGCGCAGGTTATCTCGGCGGCGATGAACGACGAGAAGACGAAGCTGTTTCCCATGCTGGAGAAGCTCCACGCCGTGCTGCCCAGCGACGCCAAGGAGCTGTCCGGCAAGCCGCTCATGAAGCGTACCATGCAGGCGTGGCTGCCCGCCCAGGCGGCGCTGCTGGAGATGATGATCTTCCACCTGCCGTCGCCCGCCAAGGCGCAGAAGTACCGTGTGGAGAACCTGTACGAGGGTCCCCTGGACGATCAGTACGCGAATGCCATCCGCAACTGCGACCCTGAGGGCCCGCTCATGCTTTACGTGTCTAAGATGATTCCCGCCTCTGACAAGGGTCGCTTTTTCGCCTTCGGGCGTGTGTTCGCCGGTAAGGTGGCGACGGGCATGAAGGTGCGCATCATGGGCCCCAACTACGTGCCCGGCAGCAAGAAGGACCTGTACGTCAAGTCCGTGCAGCGTACCGTCGTGTGGATGGGTCGCAAGCAGGAGTCTGTGGAGGATGTGCCTTGCGGTAACACGGTGGCCATGGTGGGGCTGGACCAGTTCATCACCAAGAACGCCACGCTCACTGGCGAGAAGGAGGTGGACGCGCACCCCATCAAGGCCATGAAGTTCTCGGTGTCACCCGTCGTGCGTGTGGCCGTGCAGTGCAAGGTGGCGTCCGACCTGCCCAAGCTGGTGGAGGGGCTGAAACGCCTGAGCAAGAGTGATCCCATGGTGGTGTGCACCATTGAAGAGAGCGGCGAGCACATTGTCGCCGGCGCTGGCGAGCTTCATCTCGAGATTTGCCTCAAGGATCTTCAGGTCAGCCCTGCTTCCCTTGCATTGTGGACTTTTGAACCGTGCTTGGGGTTTTACTGACGTTTCCACCTGTGGTTGCTTTGTTTTGTATTTCCCTGCAGGACGACTTCATGGGAGGAGCTGAAATCATTATCTCGGACCCCGTGGTGTCTTTCCGTGAGACTGTGCTGGACCACAGTGAGCGCACCGTCATGGCCAAGTCGCCCAACAAGCACAACAGGCTCTACTTCCAGGCCAGGCCTCTGGAGGACGGGCTCGCTGAGGCCATCGACGAGGGCCGCGTTGGCCCCCGCGATGACCCCAAGGGCCGTGTTGAGATCCTCACGAAGGAGTTTGGCTGGGACAAGGAAATTGCGCGCAAGATTTGGTGCTTCGGGCCCGACACTATGGGACCTAACATCATTGTTGACATGTGTAAGGGAGTGCAGTACCTGTCTGAAATCAGGGAGCATGTGGTGGCTGGTTTCCAGTGGGCCAGCAAGGAGGGTGCTCTGGCGGAGGAGAACATGCGTGGCATTGCCTTTGAGCTGTATGATGTGGTGCTGCACACTGACGCCATCCATCGTGGTGGTGGCCAGCTCATTCCCACGGCTCGCCGTGTGTTCTATGCTGCCCAGCTCACTGCAAAGCCGCGTCTGCTGGAGCCCGTGTACCTGGTGGAGATCCAGGCGCCGGAGGGTGCTCTGGGTGGTATCTACTCCACACTGAATCAGAAGCGTGGCCAGGTGTTCGAGGAGATGCAGAGGCCGGGTACCCCCCTGTACAACATCAAGGCGCATCTGCCTGTCATCGAGAGCTTTGGCTTCTCTGCTCAGCTGCGTGCTGCCACGTCTGGGCAAGCGTTCCCCCAGTGCGTGTTTGACCACTGGGAAATGCTCATGTCGGATCCCCTGGAGCAAGGCACCCAGGCCTTCAAGATTGTGGAGGACATCCGCAAGCGTAAGGGTATCAAGCTTCAGCCTCCTCCCCTCTCCGAGTGGGAGGACAAGCTGTAAGCTCTGCCTTGCTCTCTGGAGGCACTGCTTGCAACTGGCTGTTGGGTTGGTGCCTTTCATGGCTGGTAGGGGTTTGCTTCTGGTCTGATAGAAGGGAACTTGCAGATAGTGTGTTCTGCCACAGCTGCTGTGGTGGATGCTTTTTGCATGTTGCTATGTCATGCATCTACTTTTGCTGTTTTGCATTTCAAGACCTTGATATGCCTCTGTGCTATTTGTTTGAACCCGTTTTTGGCTTGCGTATCATGCTCACTGAATAACTGGTGGAACAAATAATTACTCATTGGCAATGTGAAGGCAACCCGCTATTCTCTCCTCCTTTCGCACACTGATATTTATACGTATTACTACAACTTGTACTGTGCAATTCCGAAGACGCGCCTTGATACTATCATACAGTTCCTGGGTTTTGTTCGCGTGGATATTGTCGTGAGACTGGACGAGTAGAAGGAACAGAGACGTCACAATTCCTTCAGAATCTGCGAGGCTGGAAGAGAACTTTGGGAAAACTATCTGTGCCGCTTGCCATGGCGAAGCAGCTGTACAGCATAGCGTGCGAGGAGGCGAGCTCCGCGGACGTAATGGACTCGTCAGAGAATGAACTGAAAGCATATGCAGCAACTGATTGCGTCCATGCGTCTGGAACTGTCAAAAGCTGTAGCGTGCGCGTGTTGCGCATGAGCATTCGAGGCTTCAAAAGCTACAAGCGGAAGGTTGAGATTGGTCCGTTGAGCGACTTCACGTGCATCATCGGCTGCAATGGCTCGGGGAAATCGGTGAGGTCGACCAGGTTCTGCCTGGTGTTATCTCCCTTTTTTCGAATGAACTAGTGAGGGTAGGGAGCCGCGCGGAGTGTCCGCGGCTGCGACTGTAACGCGCTCATTTTCAGGTGGTGGGAGAAGCGCTCGCCTTCGCGCTCGGCGCGTCCACTCGCAGCATGCGCGAGTCGCACGCCGGGGATCTGATCAACCAGACGACGAAGCGCGAAGACAGCAACAAGGCCATGGCTAAGGTACCGCTGGACGAATCGGGAAGCACCGCTTACTGGCACCTTGACTGCAATACAGAAGACTCGTACAAGTGCCTCTCACCTTGTTGCGAAAACCACTATTTTATAGGGGAAGACGATTTTGTGAAGGCGTCATAAATGTTCTGTGTGAGACGAGATTTCGTGTGTTTCTAACAGCCATTCTCATGTCGCAGGTATCCGTAGTTCTTTCTGTTTCGGCCACGAAGCCAGCAGCGAGTGTGGTAGGAAAGCAGGTGGAGGAGGTTCCAGGTCAAGAGCACATGGAAGGAGAGCCAAGAGACGAAAACGAACCTGGGACGAATGGTCCAGGCGAAGGGGTCAGTGACGTGGCGGGAAGGGAAGGCGAGGATGGCGATGCAGGGAGTGGTGGCGAAGGGAATAGCGATGTGGGGGAAAGCTTTGCTATGGGTGGGTGCGAGCAAGAGCAGGAGGGCAGTGAGGAGACTGGAAGCCAAGGCTCCGCTGCAGTCCCTTGTTCGAGCAGCTGTGAGGTGAAGGTGACACGGCGGGTGTGTGCAACAGGCAGCAGCGTCTACTCCATCACACGGGACGGCGTCAAGAGGTGTGTGTGCTTCGTGCGCTGCCATCATTCCTCCTTGCGTGGTCTCAGCTTGTTTTGGTGATCCGTGCGGCTGTTTCACATCTGACTGGTGCAAACCTTGGCAGGACTGTGAGCACGAGCAATCTGAGGAGCGAGCTGCTGCAACAGGGCATTCGCACGGAGTGCATTGACAGGTGCCGCCGTCACCTCCCCACCATCCCTGCTATGCACGCAGTAACGTTACATTATCATGAGGTTTCATGATGAGGCAGCGCGTCACTGTTGTCTAGCCTGCCTTGAGCAGCTGTCGTGCGCTCTCCCTCTCGTGCGTGCAGGTTCATTGTGATGCAGCAGCAGCAGGCCGTCAGAGTCCAGGCGCCCACTCAACTCGTCAAGGTGTGCTGCTATCCTGCTTTCCGCCTGCTGCTTTCGAAGATTACCAATGAATTTACACCACCTGTATCTGTGTGTCCATTCCGCAGCTGCAGCATCTTGTTGCCACGCCTCTATTGACATGGTTTTGAACCAGGAAGAGAAATAGCCTGCATGATCGCACTGACAAGCTAATGAAGTTGTGCATCTACACCTCGGTTCTTGTCATCACCCTACCGGTGTCTTCTGCCTCATCCTATCACCCTCTCGTCTCCCTACCTCCCCCTCCCTTCCCCATCTTCTTTCCCCCTCCCCCCTTGCCCCCTGCCTTGGCATGAGCAGTATGTGGAGCGGCTGGTGGGCACGGCGCACTTGGAGGAGGCGATAGAAGCAGTGAGCGTGGAGCTGCAGCGAGTGGAGGCGGCACGCGAGGCCGTGCGCTCGGAGCAGCAGCAGCTGCTGCACAGGCGCGAGCAGCTTCGACCCGCTGTTGACTGCTGGCGGCGGTATGCACGTTGGGATGGGGGTGGGGGGGGATGGGGATGGGGATGGGGATGGGGATGGGGATGGGGATGGGGATGGGGATGGGGATGGGGATGGGGATGGGGATGGGGATGGGGATGGGGATGGGGATGGGGATGGGGATGGGGATGGGGATGGGGATGGGGATGGGGATGGGGATGGGGATGGGGATGGGGATGGGGATGGGGATGGGGATGGGGATGGGGATGGGGATGGGGATGGGGATGGGGATGGGGATGGGGATGGGGATGGGGATGGGGATGGGGATGGGGATGGGGATGGGGATGGGGATGGGGATGGGGATGGGGATGTGTATGGGTATGGCATATGTGTGAGTATGGGTATGGGTATGGGACTTGGCATGTGCGTTGGTATGAGTGCCTCTACCACGATCCAATATCATCCCCGCTGTTTTCACATTGCTACACGCGTGTGGCTCTGCTGTTCCGCATGCATCCAAAGGTTTTCCTTCAGTGAATTCGTCTTTTGTGTCCTTCCTTGTCGGTGTGCTGGTGGATTCAATGCAGGTTCCAGTGCGACTGGCAAGAATTCCAGAAGCGCAAGGTGAGGGACACGCATGTGAAAGTTTCTCGCACTCTGTTAATGGCGACTTGTGACTTTCCGACATCCGGTTTCTCGATGGCCATGTCCTCATTTTCCTGACTCGTCCGTCTCACTAACCAAACTCGTGTGGGAGGGGGGGTCCAGAGAATGGCTTTAACGAGTCACTTGCGAGGGCTGAAGAAGAGCAAGGAGGCGGCGCAACAGCGCATGAACGGGCTGGAGCGACAGATGCAGTCCACACACAGCCAGAGCAAGGTGGGACCTCTCTCCGCTTCCCCACCCATGCTGCACTGCACGCATGGCTCACACATTGCCGTTTGACATCCGTGCCGCCCCATGCTGGACAATCCCTGGCTCAACCCAACTCATGCCTTGATGCCATCACACCACACTCACCTCAGCATGCACCCGCGTTCCACATCAGCTCGTGCATGTTTGCGAGCACTGCTTTTCCCTGATATGTTCTGCACCCTCCCTCCGCCCCAACCGTCTCCTCTCCTCGTGGCCACGGCAGGAGGTAGAGCATGCGATGGCAGCAGCGCGGCATAGGCACCTGGCAGCAGCAACGCGCACCACTCACGCGTCCCACCTGCTGGCAGCAGCACAGGCCAGCTGGCAGCAGCAGCAGCTGGCGCTGGTGAAGGCCCAGGTGCGTGCATGGCACAGCCATAGGGTGCTGGGGGAATTGTAAGAGAATATGGATAGGTTGAGTTGTTAGGGGGTTTCTCAGGGTTCTTGTGTTCTTCTCTTGCCTCTCCCACCACTGTAGCATCTGCTTGTCGCATGGAGCAGTCAGTTTGCGCATCTGCCACGCGCAATGCCCTGCTGCACTAGGCTTTGTTGCTTCATGCTTCAGCTTCATGGTTCCTATGCTCGCACACAGTGACCATGATTGCTGCTACCATGCACATGCATGCACCATCCCCACTGTCACCGCTCTCACCCGCCATGGGCAGGTGCGGGTGAAGGAGGCGAGGCGGCAGCGCTCACAGGCAGAGGGAGCATGGAAGCGCGCAGCTAAAGCTGCTGCTGGTCGCAGGGCGAAGCTGGAGGGGGAGAGGGCGCGGCTGGAGGAGAGCTTGGCGCGCGGTGAGGAGATGCTGGTGCTGCTGCAGGGGCAGGCGAAAGAGGAGGAGAGGCACCTGAGGGCGAAGCTCGAGGAGTGTGGGTTTGGTGATGGGGACGGGGATGGGGATGGGGGAAGTGTGGCGGGTGCAGTGGCAGCAGTGGTGCAGTGGCAAAAGGATGTGGTAGCACTGAGAGAAGAGCAGCAGCACATGCAGGTGGGCGTTCGACAGGGCGGTTGAAGGAATGTTGGGTGTGGGTGGGTTGGTGGGTGCATGTTCGGGTTCATAATTAGTGTGCGAGCTGGACTGTCTGACTGTGTGGAGTGTGTGTGGATGGCATGCGTGGTTGTGTGCAGGCAAGGATCAAGGCTCTGGAGGAGCAAGGGGCAGAAGCAACCAAGGGCATACAGGAGAGCGAGGAGAAGGTGAGCAAGTAAACCTATCTGTTGAGGCTCCTTCAAATTTCTCGCGTCGCAACATCAATTCATCCTCTCTTACTATGGTAGGGGTGCTCGGCATGCCTCCTTGCACTGTGCGAGCATACAAGAGCTGTGTGCGTTTTTTGTCGTTCTTCCCTGGGGTCATAGAAGTACCATACCATCTATGAGCAAGCAAGTCTGTTCAGATACAATGCATGACACAAGGCATTAAAATAATAAAGAAAAAACATTTAGGCTGCACTCAGAACCTCCTTTCTTGCTTTCACTGACTGTCCCCCTCCGGCCAACCCCACCCCCCTAACACGCCCTCATGCTGCAATGTTTCCTCGCGCCCGCAGCTGCACGGGCTGCAACAGCGCGTGCAGCAGGCGGAGAGCAGGAGGAGGGAGCGGCAGCAGGTGGTGCAGGCAGCGCAGGAGCGACTGAGGGGGCTGCTGGAGCAGGCAGAGCAGGTGGGGGAGCGGGAGCTGCCAGCCCTGCACGGCACCCTTGCTGCGCTCCAGGTCAGACCTGCCCACTCTGTTGCGCCTTTCTCTTATTCAGGACTCCTAGTCGCTTCTTCTCCATAGCGTTGTCGCCCACCTGTGCGGGTGGAGTGTGGGCATTTGGCCCCTAAACGGGCGGCATTGGGAACGTACCACGCCCATCTGCTGAGCTTTTTCCTCCCTCGCTGCCCTGACCCCTCGCGCCCCTTCCTCCCACTGGCACTCAGGCACGGATGCAGCGACTGCAGGAGCAGCAGCAGGAGGAGGCAGGGGGAGGGAGTGGTGGGATGGGCGGCAGACGAGGTGGTGAGGGGAGGCTGAAGGGGGGCCGGTACGAGGCGTATGACAGGGCAGCCGTGGAGCTCATGAGGACACTGCCCGAGGGCAGGCTGAGGGGGCGGCTGTGTGAGCTGGCTCGAGTGGAGGGGCACGCCGCTGCTGCTGTGAACAGCGTGCTCTCTCTCTCCTGCAACCTCGCTGCCATGTGAGTCCTTCTGCTGCCTGCCTCCATGCCCTTGTTTCTACCTGCTGTGTGACGAGAGTTCTCCACTTGTGCTGCGCTCAGTTTGTTTGAGTGAGATGCTAGGGATTGCGAGGTTATGTGGCATGCAACCAGTGTCCTGCCTATGCGTGCATGCCGTGCTGTGCTGATCTGTGGTGTGCTATGCTGTGCTGTGCTGTGTTGTGCTGTGTGTGCGTGTACTGTTTGTCCATTGCAGGTTTGTGACGGAGGATCGGCGGACAGCAGCAGCAGTGGTGGGGTACTTTGAGCAGCACCGCATAGGCCTCGTGTCCTGTGAGATCCTCGACGAGCAGTCAGGCCAAGCACCCCCCACTCCACACCACCACCACCACCAGCAGCCAGTGGGAGACCTCTCCCCACCCCACCTTGCATCCCTCCTGCCCTGCGTCCCCCCTCCCCACCTCGCCGCCCCCTTGCCCTGTGGGGCGCAGCCACTGCTGTGGACGCTGCGCTGTGCACCAGGGTGCCATGCAGTGCTGGCACGCCTGTGTGCGTCATGGCTGCTGGTGGTGGGGCGAGACGATGCTGTGAGGCTGCTGCCACTGCTCCGCCACAACCCCGCTTGGAGGCGATGCAGCGTTGTCACTGCTGGGGGTGATGTCTTCCGACAGGTGAGGGGGAGGGGATTGGGGGAAGGGGGGATCTGGGGGATTGGGGGAAAGGGGGATGGGGGGGATTGGTGCAGGAGGAGGGATTGAGAAGAGGGTTTGAGCCTATGCTTGCAATCAGTTTTCTTGTTCTGTTGTGTTACGGATAGTTCAGTGACTTCAATGAGTTGATTCATTGCTTTCATGGCACTAGCCGTCCAATACCATTCACTGGTTCCGCTCTCTCGTGCCTGCTCTCCCCAACCCATCCCCTCCCCCTCTCTATCCCGCCCACCCCATCGTCTCTTCCTTTCAAGCCGACCCTATCCTCTCTCCTTCTCTCCAACGTACACCCTTTCAACTCTTTCTCCTGCCCAACCTATCCGCGCCTTCTCCCCTGCCCACCCCGTCGTCTCTCTCCCTCCCGCCGTCCCTTGCCTCTCGCTGCACAGGACGGCGAGGTGATCCGTGCATGCCTCTCCCCTGCAATGACGCGCTACCACCTGGCGCCACTGGACGGCGCTGCTGCTGCTGCCACAGGGGGGAGGGCGGGGGAAGAGGCAGGCGAGCAGGCGGAGAGGAAGCAGAAGCGCGAGGAGGCGTTGCGGCGAGCAGTGAGGGCGGTTGAGGAGGAGATGGGACTCGTGAAGTCCGCTATAGCGGAGAAGGAGGCTAGGGGCAAGCAGCTGTGGGTGGAGCGGGAGGAGTGTGAGAGAGAGGTGGAACGGTTGATGGCAGAGGGGAGGAGAGAGGAGGGCGGGGAGGACGAGGGAGGGGAGGTACAGACGAAAGGTGGGAGGGGCAGAGGCAAGAGGAAGGAGGAAAAGGAGAAGTTGACAGGGGGTGGTTTAGAGACGTTGGGTGGTTTGCAGAGGGAGGTGGAGAGGTGTGAGGCGGAGAGGGAGGCGATGAGGCGGCAGGTGAGGGTAGTGGTGGGGCAGGTGCAGGTGCAGAGGGGCAGGCTTCTGGACGTGCAGACGAGGCTGCAGGCTGTGGTGGCGGAGGTTGAGGGGAGGCAAGGTGGACAAGGAGGGAAACAGGGGAAGCAAGAGGGGAGGTGCAGCAGGAGAGTGGCTGAGTGGATTGGCGATGGGGAGATAGCTGGGCGAGCAGAGAAGGTGGTGCGGGCGAGGCAAGCTGTGAAGGACGTGGAGGAGAAGGCACGGGAGGAGAGGGTGGAGCTGGCGTGTGTGCAGCAGTCGCTGTGTGCTGTGCTGCGCGCTGAGGCCGAGGGCCATGCAGACGCTGGCAGGGGTGCTGGTGGGTGCAAGGGGGTGGCAAGGCAGGGTGGTCGACATGGGAAGGGCAAGGGGGGAAAGGGGGGAGGAGGGAAGGGGGATGCGGCAAGGGAAGATGGTGAGGAAGGGGAAGAGGAGGAGATGCGGGAGATGGAGTCACAAGTGAAGAGGCTGGAGGAGGCGAGGGATGGCAGGTGAGGCGTGTGCGTGTCTTTATGTGTGGTACCTGCTAGTAGCAGCCACATGGCATGGCCAGCCGTCATGTGCTCCACAGGCGCATCTCCTGCTTATGTTTCAGTCTGGCAAGCCCGTGTGAAACCAGGCTTATGTGTATGGCATGCATCTCTTTGTGACTTGCAAGAGCATGCTGCCTGCCTTTCATTCAAATCTCATCACCCATACATTCCCCGCCCTCTCATCTCCCATGCGTTTTTCCACTGTGCGTTCTATTCTGCCACAGGCAGCTGGAGGTGCAGAGTGCGAGGCGGGAGTGTGAGGAGGCAGCGGAGGAGGAGAAGGCGCTAAAGGCCAAGCGTGGGAAGCTCATGGCCTCGCTGGTACGGCACTGCTGCCTCTCCTGCTGCTCGACCATGCTCCCTTGTTACGTGCTTGCATGCCTCCCTCGCACCGCGTCACGGCATGCGGTCCTTCCCATGTGCATCATCCTGCTCGTCTATTCGCTTGCTCGTGCATCTTAGCCTCTTGTTGACACTCGTACCTGCTGCTGCGGTGGCATGGTGGCAGGTGAAGCTGCAAGGAAGTGCAGTGGAGGCGAGGCAGCTTCTGGCGGACCTAGAGGCAAGGCTGGAGCGAGCTGCAGCGCTGCTCACAGAGTGTGGTGGGAACGAGCAGAAGGGCACGGGTGGTGGTTCCAGGGGAGAGAAGCAGGGGAGCCGTGGATGTAGCAGGAGCAGGCGAAAGGTGCATGGAGGGAGGAAGGGAAAAGGAGGGAAGGGGACTTGGAAGAGCGGGAAAAAGGGAGGAAGCAAGGGGAAGGCAGAGGATGCAGGGGAAGCGGTGAAGGGACAGGGGCCAGTGCTGAGAAGGTCAAGCAGGCTTCTGGCGGCAGGAGACGGGGCGAGCAGCAAGGGCCGAGGGGACTTGGAGAAACGAGAGGAGGGTTTAGTGAATCGCCAGGGCAAAGGAGAGGGGAAACGCGGAAAGAGTGGCGCGAGCAAGGGAGGAGGTGAGGAGGATGAGAAGCAAGGAGAGGTGGCAGGGAAAGCATACAGGAGACGTAGGGATGCATCGAAGGGTGGGCGTCAACAGGTGGGGGCGGAGCATGGGGTGGGGGATGCGGAGGCAGTGAGCGGTGGTGAGAAAGATGTAAAGGGCAGGAAGGGTGCTGCAGCAATGGACGTTGATGCGAGTGATGCGATGGGTGAGGGGAAGGGTGCGAAGCGAGAGAGCAGAAGGACAAAGGTGATCCGGAAAGTGAAGATCAAAGAAGGCCGCAAGGGAGAGACGGTTGCAGTGGGTGAGGGAGAAAGTACGGAAGAGGGAGAGGAAGAGGTGGAGGAGGAAGAGGAGGAGCAGATTGAGGAGGGGGAGGAGGAGGAGGGGGAGGGGGAGGAGGAGGAGGAGGAGGAGGAGGAGGAGGAGGAGGAGGAGGAGGAGGAGGAGGAGGAGGAGGAGGAGGAGGAGGAGGAGGAGGAGGAGGAGGAGGAGGAGGAGGAAGAGGAGGAGGAAGAGGAGGTAGAGGAGGAGGAATATGGTGGTATGGAGGGCGAGGAGGAGGAGGAGGAGTGTGGAGGTGTTTCCCTGGAGGAAGTGGTGGAGGAGGAGAAGGAGCTTATGAAGAGAAGAAGGTGAGACAACCCTGCCAATCCAGAAGGTTTGTGCACAACCACTCACACGTTCACCTCCCGTTCTCTCCCACCCCTCCTTTGCCTGCAGGCCTCTCACCCTCTATTGAATCCCCCCACCCCCATCACTCTCCCGCTCTTCTGTCCGATGCCATCACGTTGCCATCACCACACCATCATGGCATCATCGCTTTATCATCGCATTCGCCCTGCCGTGCTCTCCCCACACCGTCCCACCCGTGCAGTGCCATAGACGCGGCAGCACTGCAGGAGGACGTGGGGTGCCAGAGGCGCCTGGTGGCAGTGGGGGAGGAGGTGCAGCGGGTGGAGGAGCGGGCGCGCATGCATGCAGTGCGGCACGAGGAGCTGGAGATGCAGCGCTTCACTCAGCTCAGAGGGGCCCTGCTCAAGGTGTGTGTGTCTCTCTGCCTCTGCTGCACTTGTGCTTGCTGCACCCGCTGTGATTGCCTGTTTGGGACAAACTGCTTCTGGGTGTGTGCATGAACTGGTAGTGTGCAGCCTGCAATGAAAGGCTCATGGCATGCGTTCCGAGCTCACCATGCAACCGCATTATGTATTGCTATCTTGGTGCGTTTGGCATGTGTGCTTGTGCGTGTATGTGTGTTTATGTGCATGCATGTACATGCACGTGTGCATGCGCATGAGCATGTGTGGGGCAACGCGTTGCTATTGGTGTGCAGGTGAATGAGAACCTATCGGCCATCTACTGTCAGCTGACGCGCCATGGAGATGCATACCTGTCGTTCGTGGATGAGAAGAGCCTGCTCTTCTCGGATGGCGTGCACTTCCACGGTACCCCGCCGTCTTGCCAACCAGCCTCTGCCTGCCCTCAACCCCCATGCTCCGCATATTCTGCACATCTGCCATCCCTTTGTCATCACACAATCCCCTTCCTTCACGTCTCAGCCAGCCCCCTCTCTTGCTCCCTGCACCCGCCATTCTGTGCCTTGTTCCTCGTCAATCTCTGTTCTGTATCAACAAACCAGCATGCATCCACGCCCATCCAGCACGTTCCTCCCATTCTGCACCTCCCACCCACCCATGCACCCATGCAGTTCGGCCTGACCGCCAGTGCTGGCGGCCGTTTGCGTCTCTGTCAGGCGGGCAGCAGGCGCTGGCATGCCTGGCGCTGTCGTTCAGCCTGCAGGCGTCCTTCCCCTCGCCCTTGTTCTTCTTTGATGAGATCGATGCATCGCTGGACACCAAGCACGCCCTGCAAGTGGCGCGCTTCATTCAGGTAACCTTGCTCGGCTTCCCATCGTCTTTGCTGTCCGCTCTTCTGTCAAACTTGCCCGCATGACTGTATGTGAAGTTACTACATGTGGGCCTGAGCGCACCTCCAGGCAAACACCTTGTTGATCAGTACCTGTGGCTTTCTCTTGTTTCATGTGCCTGTAGACGCAGCGGTCAGCACAGTACATTGTGGTGTCTCACCGCCCACAAGTGTATGAGCAAGCGAGTACACTGGTGGGAGTGTACAACTTCAAAGGAAGCTCCACATGCCTCACTGTACATGCTGACAGCCCCGTGCCGCCCATGGTTGCTGTAGAAGAGAGGAACGGATTTACTGCTTAGGGGCTGCAACCATCCCAACGGAATGGTGAGTGGACCATGAGATGCCATGCCATCATCATGCCACTTGTTGCCACTCTTGAGGTTTCAGGCTTCCCAGACATTCGTGAGAACATTGCTGACAGGAAAATATTTTACAGAATATACCATCTGCTTCATAAGTGTTGAATGGTCATCCACTTGATGAGGCACAGCATGGTTGTTTGAAACATGTGAAAGAATACCCTTGCAAGCATTTTACCCTTTCAAAATACGTTTGTTTCAGCGTTGGTGCGTTGCTGCGTTTTATGAACGATTCTGTAGAGGAGTCAAAGCCCATGCAAAAGCCCTGTGAGAGGATTGGGCGGGGAAGGGTGCCGCCACAATTTGGCGACGAGCTCAGCGTCGTGTTGGGAGCTGCAGTGGCAAGGCGACGACGACGCCTTCGCAAGCGGCTCGTGAATCGTGAAATGTGGTGAGTCGTGATTGATGGGATCGAGGGTGCGCGACTCCTGGGTGCCTTTGCGGGGAATCCCAACCAACTAAACCACAATGCGGGCCGCCGAGCGCGTGTGGACGCCTCGCTGATTGGTGTACACCGGATCTATGCGACAAACAAGGTGAGGACTACGAGTCTGCGACTACCCGAAAGCTTCTCTGTTGTCGTGCGATTGATAGCACTTGGCACTCCGCTGCGCCCCCACCCCTCCGGAATCGATTTCAATTCACATTTGTCGCTGCTTCCCACCAGTACACGACCAGCAAATTCCTTCCTCCTTGGGCTTGTGAAAGGCGGTTTGCATTGCACACATCAACTGGAAAAACAGGAACAACGCCGTGCATTCCTCGTTCACCGCTAACCAAAATCACTTTGACACCTCCCGTGTCAAGGCCAAAGAGAAGCTACTCGTCGGCGCTCCCTCTCACTGACCAGCGCCGGCGCCATGACCGTGCCGTACAGGTCGCCGAATGGCGTTAAGGAGAACGCGGCTGCTCTCGCGCACTTGAACGCGCTGCGCAAGCGCATGGCAGGCCCCGAGGCACCAGTGGCAACAGCAGCAGCGCAGGCGAGTTTTTGGCGGCGAACATTGTCGCGGCGTCATTGTCGTGTCGCTTTGTGATTCTATCTAGTATAGTTTATTCGCCCCGCGAGGTTAGTAGTGCCTTTACGAGACGGCTGCGGACTCCACGGCCGACATACACTATACCCATTTCCGTTTTTTTTTGCCTCCACGCCATCCGCTTGCCCCCCAAGGTTCGCCATTCCTCCGTGCCCGTCCTCCCCCTCACCGCAGCATCGCCATCCCTTCGAGACCGCGGCGAACACGTCGCGCGGAGCCGTCGCGGCAGCAGCAGCGCTGCGGCTGCCTCTCGATCCGCCCGTGCATAGCGGCGACCAGAGTGCGCCGGCGCCCCCGTGCGAAGACAATCCCGCCGCTCCAGCTTTCGCAACTGCCCCCGACGCCGATGGCGGTGACACTGCGGCGCGCACGGCGAGAATTGGAAGTCGCGGGGATGAGGGGAAAACGCGCGGGGCAGAGGAGGGCACGCGGGAGCGCTGCGAAGGCAACGAGGGGGACGCGCTTGGATGCGCGCGGAACGCGCTAGATGGGGAACGCGCGGCCCTTGAGCCGCAGGAGGCGAGAGGGGAAGGCCGACGGTGGAGTTTGGACGACTTCGAGGTGATTCGACCATTGGGACGCGGAAAATTTGGAACCGTGTTCATGGCTCGCGAACGAGAGGTGAGAGAGACCATTGGGAATATGATTTCCTGCCTGCTGCTCTCAGGAGCTGCAATTTCCGTCTATTTCTTTCCACAAGCTCCCCTTCCTCACCCTCTCCCTCCCACATGCGCGCCTTGAATCCGCCGCGTCCCCCCGCGCTCCCCCCGGCGCGCACTTGAGCAGAGCGGGCGCGCGGTGGCGTTGAAGGCGGTGAGCAAGCGCGAGGTGCGCGAGGAGGGGCTGCAGGAGCAGCTGCGGCGCGAGATCGAGATCCACGCGCACCTGCGGCACCCGGGCGTGCTGCGCCTCTACGGCTACTTCTACGACCAGGTCAGCTCAAGCGCTGCCCTCTTCTGCCGCGCAGCACCACTTAAAGGCCACTGGTGTCACCCACGCGTGCTACCGCGCCTGTACGGGTACTAGGGGATTTTCGCTAGTAATGGACTCAAAAGCTGTACCTCTACCACTACGTGGCGCCCCGCGCTGCCCCTCCTCGCTGCCGCCCTTCGCTGCCCCGCCCACTGGGTGTCACCCACTGTCGTCCGCCGTACCACCACCTTCTCGCTGCATTCTCCCTAAAACCCCTCCTCTGCTTTCTTTCCATCCTTGCGCGCGTGTCCCCGCGTCCTCCCCTCTCTCCCCTCTCCCTGGCAGACGTTCGTGTACCTGGTGCTGGAGCTGGCTGCGGGCGGGGAGCTGTACCGGCAGCTGCGCGCGCGGACGAGGCTGCAGGAAGGGCAGGCCGCCAAGGTACGCCCAACACTGCTGGCACTGCGCACACTGTGAACACTGCGAGCATTGCTGGCTGTCCTCATGACGCCTGGGTGACGGGTCAATGTCCCAAAGTGTCACCTCCCTGTGCCAGATGCACTGCCTCTCCTGCGCGGCACCACCAACAAGCGCTGCCAGGATCGCGTGCTCGTGCGCTGCGTCCCATACCACGGGCTGCACCCGCGCCCGTGCTGCTCCTTCAACGCTCGTCGCGCCTCCTCCCTCCCTGTCTTCCTCTCGCCGTCCCTCCCCCATGCTCCCTGGCAGCACGTGGCGGGGGTGGCGCGCGCGCTGCTGTACGTGCATGAGCGCGGGGTGGTGCATCGTGACATCAAGCCCGAGAATGTGCTGCTCTCCGATAAGGTCGGCCCTGAACAGACCCGTGCCGCCTCCCCTTGCGCACCTCACTGCGCCGCACACATCCCTTTCTCTGAGTCCGAACCCTCTCACTCACTATCCGTGAGGCGCCCTAGAAATCCCTCCTGCTGAAGCTCTCTCCTCTCTACCCCCTCTTCCCGGTGCCATGGGGGGCAGGGCGAGGTGAAGCTGGCGGACTTTGGGTGGTCCACGCGGGCCAGCGACAGCACCACGTGCACCACCGTGTGCGGCACTCTCGACTACCTTCCCCCTGAAATGGGTGCGTGTCACTGCCTTGCTCTCTCTCTCTCTCTCTCTCTCTCTCACTCTCTCTCTCTCTCTCTCTCTCCCTCTCTCTCTCTCTCTCTCTCTCTCTGTCTCTCTCTCTCTCTCTCTCTCTCTCTCTCTCTCTCTCTCTCTCTCTCTCTCTCTCTCTCTCTCTCTCTCTCTCTCTCTCTCTCTCTCTTTATATATATATATATATATATCTCTCTCTCTCTCTCTCTCTATTTCTCTCTCTCTCACTCTCCCCCCCTCTCTCTCTCTCCCTCTCTCTCTTTCTCTCCCAGTCTCTCTCTTTCTCTCCCAGTCTCTCTCTTTCTCCCTCTCCCCCATCACCCTCTGAATTCGTCAACTCGCACCTCAACCCAAGCGCGTCTCTCCTCGCTCCCCCCTCGCTCCCCTGTGTGGCGAGCAGTGGAGGGGGAGCAGCACGGGAGGGAGGTGGACGTGTGGGCGCTGGGCGTGCTGCTGTACGAGCTGCTCGTCGGCTGCCCGCCCTTTGAGGCCCCCACACAGACCGACACCTACAGGCGGTGAGACACCAACCTGCACGCACTCATGCACTGCCACCTCCCGCACACATCCCCGCATCCTCACCACACTCCCCCCCCACTCGCATCCACTCTTCCCGGTTGGAGTAACCTACTTAACTCACGCTCCATGCTCCCATCCGTGTTTCCCTTCCCTGCCACTCTGTGTGTGGTGTGTGGCAGCATAGTGGAGGTAGATGTGCGTTTCCCCCTGCACGTGCGAGTGTCCCAGCCTGCCAAGGACCTCATTCGCCGCCTGCTCGTGCGCCAGCCCTCACAGCGCCTGCCCCTCGCCAGCCTGCTGCACCACCCCTGGGTGCTGCGCCACACCCAGGGGCAGGCGCAGGGGCTGGGTGGCAGGAGGGTGCCAGGGGGACATGGCGCGGAGAGGCTGGGAGCAAGGGGAGGGAGGGGCAGCAGCAGGAGGAATGTGCTGTGATGGCTGTTGGTTTGACTGGGAGTGCTGTTGGTGACTCATGGGTTGTGAAGGGTCATGTACAGCATTGCTCACTGAGGAAGCTTGTCTTGTAGTCCTTGGTGATCGGCACACTACTATAGATTCAAGCAGTCAAGTGCACAAATTCTGCTAGCTGTTGTGCACAAATTCAGGGCAGAGCAGAATGTCAGTAGGTTGGGGATAGGTGGGAGGAAGGTTCCTTGAGCAGTGACAGCTCTTTTGACGTAAGGTAACACAAGACAAGACACGGAATTAGCCAGTGTCACCCACAACCAAGCACTGGAGCAGGCAACTGAACAAGGTATTGAACTGCAGCAACGTTATTTCTACCATTTGCACTCAGATATTGAGAAAAAAATCCACCGCTCCAGCGCTCCTAACTTGCATCAACAAATCAGCATCGGCGCATGACACAAGTGCAAGCTGGAAAGAATACCACCATCAACGCAGCTCCACATACAGCCATGGCATAAGCGGCATGCAGGAGAGCGGCAGGTGGGAGAGTGGTGGATGGCAGGCAATGTCTAGTAGAGGGTGAGGCTGAGGACACACGACACCGCGAACCAGGCCAGTAGGAAGTAGCCGAGCTTGGCTGTGCCCTCGGGGTCATCGGGAGTCATCTGGTTGTCGTTGGGGAAAGGGACAGACGGGGGATGAAAGCATGTCATTCAGTAGAAGCATGCAACGGAGCCAGGGCATGGGCGGACATGGGTGAGAGAGAGAGAGCATGCAGAGTAAAGGGAGAGAGCGTGCAATAACGAGCGAAAGAGGGGGTGAGGGAGAGAGAAAGGGTACCGGGCGGGGTGGGTTGCCGACGCCTTGGGTGAAGTTCTTCTGAGTGACATCGGTCTCAAAGGGCCACACGTAGTCAGCAGCGCTGCCCTGCTCCGCACGGATGATGGCCCAGTCGTACAGCCGCCGCTCCTCCTCTGACGTCAGCACGTCCAACGACACCTGCGCACACACCGCATGGCGCCCACGCACGTGGATGGGGAACCCGGTTCAGATGGATGGATGGATGGATGGATGGATGGATGGATGGATGGATGGATGGATGGATGGATGGATGGATGGATGGATGGATGGATGGATGGAGCACGCGGTATGGATGGATGGCGAATGCGGATCACAGACCGTGGGTTGCTTGAGGGGCGGATAGGGGCACGGTGGTATGGCGTGTGCTTTTATGATTCTTGGCATGGAGCTTCAACAATAACTGCCCCATCATATCTTGCAACTTTCGTAACTTGTATCCATCATTCCACACCCAGATGACCCACTCACTCTTCTCCACCAATGCCCCCTTCCCTTCTTCCCCCTCCCTCCCTCCCTGTCCCGCCACCCCCCTCGCTGCAAGTGCCCACCAACCAACAACCGCCACGGCGTGCACAGGCTTCCCTCGCTCTACACAATTCTCCCCACTCGCCTCGAGCGACAGCAGTTGCTGCCGGGCCGCCTCCTCGTCCAGGTTCGGGTTGCTCGTCAGCTGCTCGCACCGCGCCTCGAACGCTTTAAAGATCTGCGCCGACGACGCAGGCAGGTGGCGGGCGGGAAAAGGTGGCATTGGGAAAGGGGGTGGGGGAGGGCGAGAGGGAGAGGGGCAGCGGTGGAATGGAGAAGGACGCATGGAAGAAGGGAGGGGCGGATGTGAGCAGCGAGGTGGAGACGGAGAGGCGGGGCGAGGAAGGGGGTGGAACAGATGGCCACATGCCCCGTATCTACCTCACCGCCGCTTTCGGCACGGACTTCAATTGCGTCTCTTATAAGTTCCTTAGAGCCAGGCTTCTGAAATTTCACTGACAAGGCGACAAGCCAATGTGGTAGCGAGCGAGCTCGTGTGCAGCGCGACGCGCACGCGGCGGAGATCTCACCTCGGCGTTGTTGGCGTTTCTGGAGACGCCGAGTCGCTTGTAGTGATCCACCAGCACCAGGTCTGACGGGGGGCGTGGGGTACGTGCGGGAGGAGGTGTGGCGATGAGAGGGCGGAGAGAGGGGAGGGAACACGATTTTTTTTGGCAGGGATCTAGCGGCTGACAATGGGCCACGCGCAACTTGAACGCTGAGCCTCGTGTTGAACGTACACAAGCGCGCCCATTCTAACGCCTCGCCCGCATCCTCACTCCTCCCACATTACGCGCCGCCTACAGTCACGACATGGCCTAATGATTTGCGGCTACAATCATTTCGCAGGCGCGAGCCCACGCAGAATGGTCCGCGCAGCATCTCCGCTTGGGTGCAAAAGCGCATTTGGCGAGTGCGCGTGAGAAGAGCATGCGCAGATAAAATACCGCGCACTGTATTAGACCTACCGGCTGACGAATCGGCATCCACGGAGCCCGCTGCCACCGCCACCACTTGAAGCGGTCGCCGGCTCGCCACACGCACTGCTGGCAGCGACGCGACGCGGAGGGAGCCTGCGACAGTCGCACGGGCGGGCTGCGATTTCGGCGACGCGCGGGGCACAGGGAGCGCCAAGCCCAGCAAGTCGAGAGTAGCCATGGCGACGAGCGATATGTACTCTAGCAGAGGTTGGATGTGGCAGTGAGCGTTGGGAAGAGGTGGTGTGGGCGGAGTGGAGCAAGGCGAACCAACTTCGATGGACGAGGAGGCACGGAGGGAAAAGCGCGAGTGGGGGTGGAGGAGAGTCGTGAAGGGTGCGCTCGCAGTCCATTTTGAGGTTGTTCCTCCCGAGGGGAGGGGAGTGCTGTGGAAGGGCGGAGGGGGGGGTTGTGGCGCGGATGAATGTGGCGGAGGAGGTGGCCCGATGACGAGGACAGGGGGAGTGAATGGCGCGGAGGCAGGCTCTGTGGTGCGCCAGGAAGACGATGTGGCAATGGATCAGCTAAAGTCAGCCACAGGAGTGGCTCCTGCTTTTCCGCCTGCGAAATGGAAGTCCCTTTGTTGGGATAAGTGCCGCTGCGCTACAAGTTTTGTACATGTGAATATATTACATCAAGCGCAATAATTGATTGTTATCTCACATCCTCACAATCACATCTCTTGTTGAGGTCGTAGATAAGCACAAGCAACACTGTATTCGAAATGCAGGTGGTGTAGGCAGTCGCTTTGCATGTGCAACCAGATCGCGCGACGACAACACCAGGCCCTAGGATTTCTGCAAGACCTCGAGATGGATTCAGCTCGAATCCTCCTTGCTCTCCGCTATCCATCACGGAAACACGGCTTACGATTCACACCACCACAGCAAATTCACTTTTCCCCTGCGGCCTTTTCCAAAAACACGTTTCCTTCAAACCTCTCGCCGCCATGAGCGCAATAGCAGGCGGAACTGCTGGTCTGAGCATCGCGACGCCTGCCGGCAGAGGTCGCAAGCGAGGGTCGTCTGCGGCAACGTCGCGAGCTGCTGCGGCGACAAGTGATGCGGTCGGCGTAGAAAGCCTGGGCGGCCGATCGAGCAAGCGAAAAGATGCAGGTGCGGGTGGTGGTGAGGCGGGTGACGACGACGACGACGTCTTAAGCAAGCCCGCGTCTTCCCGCCTCGGGGCGACAGGCGCTGCTGCTGCCGGAGGGGCAGATCAAGGCGGGCACGCGTCGGCAGGTGTGGCCGATCGCGAGGGGACAGATGGTCGGGGGGGTGCGGCGGGGTTCCGAGATGGCGACGCTGCGACGGGAGGACACCGGCGCGCAGTATCGGGGAACTTCGCATGGCTGGGCACGAGCACGTCGGGCGCCGCGCATGCCGTGAAGGCGGCGCTCAAGTCGTCGCTCGTCGCGCTGGGCGCCGCCAGGGGTCCCGCGTCGGCAGCGGGCAAGGGCGCATTGCCGGGCCGGTCGGCAGGGGCACCGGGGGAGGAATCGGTCCGCGCAGCGGCGGCGCAGAGGCTAAGCGCGGTGCTGCGGCACCCCGCGGTGCCGGTGGTGCTGCCTATGGTGCTGGCGGTGGTCATCAGCGCCTACTTCCTCCGCCTCGTCCCCGGCGGTGGCACCCATTCCGTGGCGGACGAGTCGGGCTGGCGGCTGTGGTGGGGGGCCAACCGCGCTGAGCGCATGGCGGCCGCGGCGTCTGCGGCGGCGAAGGCGCAGCAGGCGGCGGTGGAGAGGCTGCAGGAGGTGGTGGTGCGGCTGGAGAAGCGCACCGAGTCCATGGCGCAGGCGCTGCAGGTAGGGGGGAGGAGAAGAGAGATGGGGGAGGGAGAGGGGAAAGAAAGGGTTGAGGGGCAGGAGAGAAGGGCGGCGTTAGAGGGTGGGGCAAAAGCGACGTAAGGGGACGCTTTTGCGTTTGCACAGGGAAAAGGGATTGGAGGCGAGTTATGATACTCTTCCTGTTTTACATATATTTTCCAAAATACATAGTCTGAATCTTGTTTCCCTGCATGGGATGGTGGCACTGTCTTGCGTGCGTGCGTGCGTGTGTGTGTGTGTGTGTGTGTGTGTGTGTGTGTGTGTGTGTGTGTAAGTGACTGTGTGTGTGTGTGTAAGTGACTGTGTGTGTGTGTAAGTGACTGTGTGTGTGTGCATGTGGTGCCATGGTGTGTGTGGTGGGTGGCAGGTGCAGGCGGACACACTGGATTCGAAGCTGGGCGCGGTGAGCAAGGAGCAGGAGGTGCGAGCGCAGCACGCAGCGGAGCTGGAGAAGCGACTGGAGCAGCTGGGCGTGAAGGTGCAGGAGACGGACGCCGCCGTGCTGCAGATTCTCGCCAACGGGGGGCCCATGGTGCGGCAGGAGGTGGTGCAGCTCGTGCAGCAGGTGCTCCCGCTCCCCCACCGCCCCTTGCCCTCGTATCTCCCTTGCCTGCTTCCCCTTACTGCCCTGCAACCTGCATCCGCACTTCAAGTCTATGACCTGCTCGCTGGCTGCAATATCTGCTGATTATCCATGAATTAAATGAATCCCAGCCCCATTCGCAGCCTGCAGCCCCCAGTCAAAGAGGCTCCTTCTGGCTGCACGACTCATGCCCTTGTACCTCTCTCTCCTCCTGTGTGTCACCCCGAAACGCACATACCAGGTGGCAGAGGAGAGG